TGGAGAGGACCGGCATTGCTGCTCAGACTGGATGCTGACGAAGGTGTGGCAGTGATTCAATATCAAGGAAAACCTTACCTGGTAGCACTTCGCCACATTAGACCCTTCCGAGGCATCTATCATGTTGCTGTACAACAACCTGAGGTGGACGAGATGCTCTACCGTCTGATGCGCTATGTCGAGTCCCTGACAGACTACAAGATCTACCTCTATGGCTGGGTGCGCAATCAGCGGGACCAATGGACCAAACTTCCCAAGAACAACGAGGAGGCAGATCGCATCCTGCAGAAGGCCACGACTATCTCTACCTCAATGACCAAAAGGCAACTGCATGGATGCATCCTTGGAAAAGCACTTCGTAGTTTCAAACCTCCTTCAACAACCACGGGAATTTTGATCACCTGGATTCATGGAGGACGAAGCTATGCTGTTCAAGAACACAGGTCAGACAGGCACCTCAGACTCAAGAAGATCACCATGCATCCTCGTGAGGAAGTATGCCTGCTCTACCTCTTCTACTACCACTCACAACTGGCAGAAGAAGAAGGACCTGTGCCCCGGAAACCAACATCCACGACGAGCTCTTCAACAACTATGCAACCTCTCATTCCTGGAGCAACTTCAACACCTATGGAGGAGGAGAACGTCTCAAGGAAGCGCGATGGTCCTGAAACACGATCAGTGGTGCTTGCTCCGGAGAAGAAGAAGCAGAAGTGCGAGTTCGTCAGAAAAGACCATGACTTCATCAGAAGCTACTATGCGGCATCAATGGTCAAGCAGTTCATACAGTTTGACATCACGGTCGATTGGAGATACGGTTATGACTGTATGACAGAGACAACCAGGAACCTTCTTCACTACCACAGTGAACAGAAGAAGAAGAACCTTGGCTATCTCTTCCACTTTGCCTACAAGAGCAACCATGATGCATTGGCAGACCTGAGAACTGCAGAGATCTTCAAGGTCGATCAGGAGACCAGCAACCTCGACGACGACAATCTGGACCCGGCTTTGTGGCCGCAGATCGAAGCTGCAGATCGCAGTGAGATTCAACAGTTTGTGGATGAGAAGGCCTTCAAACCCATACACCGTATGCAGGTGACAGAAGACATGGTCCAGATCGATGCCAGATGGCTCAGGAAATGGAAAAGGCTGCCCGACAAGACCCTGAAGATCAAAAGCAGACTCTGTGCCAGAGGTTGTCTCGATCAACAGAAGGCCCTGTTGACAACTCGGAGTACGACTGCAACTCGACTTTCGCAGCGTCTCCTGGTGTCAATGGCTGCCAGAAAGAAGAAGGGCAAGAGGAAGAAGATTGAAAGTTGGGACATCGCCGGAGCGTTCCTCAAGGGATTTGACTTCAAAGCCATTCAGAAGGCGCTTCAGAAGCTTGGGGTGACGGCGCCTACCAGACAGGTCATTGTGTATCCCCCTATGAACGTCTGGCGACATCTTCAAGAACTATCAGCAGTTTTTAGAGTTCCTGAACATTCTCTGCATGATTATGGTTTGCTGTGCCTGAAGCCCATCTACGGCCTCAATGATGCTCCACTCGCATGGCAGTTGTCTTTGCATTCGTTTCTGCTTGAGCTTGGAGCCCATCGCAGCAAGCTGGATGAGAATTGTTTTTACTGGAAGCAGCCGAACAGTGAGAAGATCGACGTTTTCAACAACCTGGATGCCATGGTCACAACGCATGTGGATGATCTTGCCATCATGGCAGAGGAATCATGGTTGGACCTCCACTACAACAAGTTCGTGCAGAAGTTTCAGAAGGTGACACGCCAACAGCTCCCTTTCCAACACTGTGGGTGTGAGTACGCAGAAACCAATCAAGGTTTCTCCATCACCCAGAAGGACTTTGCGGAGAAGCTGACTCATGCCAAAGTACCATCTCGTGCAGAAGAATCCAAACTACTGCCAGAAGAGGTGACAGAGTTTCGATCCGTACTGGGAGCACTACTTTGGGTGACATCTACAAGACTGGATGTGGTGTCGGACGTATCCCTACTCCAATCTCGAGTCACAGTAGCAGAAGTTCGAGATATCAAAGTGGCCAACAGCGTGGTGGACAAGGTGAAGGCTTACTCCGACGTGGGCTTGCACTACAGATTCTTCGAAAGTGACCATCAACGAGTCGTCTGCGTGCACGACGCCTCATCAGCAAGCAAGGGCCGCCACTATGCGCAGGAAGGCATCCTGGTCATGCTGGCGGACGACCACTGGAGAGGACACCAAATCGACCACGAGCACATCTGCGATGACTACACCGTCGCCAAACATGGTGGCGTGATGCACGTGCTGCATTCGCATGGCGCCAAGGCTAAAAGAGTGAGTTACAGCACGAGTCATTCGGAAACGTTGGCTATGGTGAATGGAATAGAATCCACGACACTGGTTTCAACCAGGCTTTCCGAAATCATGCATCATGAACCTGCACCGACATTGGATCAATTGGTAGTTCTGCAAGAAAACGGAAACCCCAATTTGCCAGTCGATTACTATTCAGATTGTGCAGATCTCTGGGAACTCACCACTGGACAGAGGACATTGCCACAGGACAAGAGTCAGAGATTGTACATCTTGGGCATCCGTGAAACTCGAATCAGTGGCCGTATGAGGCTCATGTCCCTGGTGCCAACAGCATCAATGGTAGCCGACTCGCTCACCAAGCCGATGGTTTCGACTCAGCTGTTGCATTTGTTGAGCACTGGAAAGGTGGAGTTCAAGAACGAGCCAGACCATCCAGTGAAATCACGAGTGCTTCCATCGATTCCGTTGGACGAGGAATCGGATTTGCTCATGAACGACGAAGAGGTGATCAAGAAAGCTGAGAAGGCCAAAGAGAAAGTTCTGATGACGACGGCATCGGTGATGTTTGGATTGGTGGCTGGAATCACATCCAAGACTATGTTGCTGGCGACCACAGCCGTGACTCTGGTGACACCAGCTGCAGCCCACTCTCGTGGCAACTACGTGCCGGACACCAAGGAGGAGCACAGCTACTGGCCGGTCTATGTGACCATCTTCATCACTGTGTTTGTGGCCATTTATGCGGAGAAGTTCGTCACGAAGTTTGTGAACGTTATGCAGAATAAGGCCACAGACATCCTGGTGCCGAAGGAGGAACTTTGCCGAGCTCCCTCAACGAAGAGACATCGTGAAGAAGAAGAAGGAGAAGAAGCTCTACCGGTGGAACCAATGGATTTGGAGGATGAAACATTTACTTGGACGAAGGAAACTGCCATCGCCTTCTACCAGAGGACGAAGGCTCAACACCAAGACTACATCGCCATGACCGAGAACGTGATCAGGGAGAAAGATCAAAAGATCAAAGAACTAGAACATGCTGATGCTATCAACCTGGACAAGATCAAGACCACTGGCGAGTACGCCGACATGCTGGCGACACATCGTGACACCCAAGTACAACTCGGCAAGGAGATGAAGCAGAAACTCGAGTCATTGAAATCTGACAAAGAGGCCGCAGACGCAGATCGAGACGAAATACAAGGAGCCTACGATGACATGGCTTCCCTCTACAGCAAGTCGCTATCCGAGAACAAGATCCTGGAGTCACAACACAAGATCATGACAAATGACCGAGACCATTTTTCAAGAGAGGCCACTCAGGCCAAGACGAGGCTGGAGATCGAGATCAAATCGCATCAAAAGACCAAGGATGAGATGCGTGAATACAAGGAGAAGTATGAGCACCTGGTGGAGTTGACTACGAAGCCTCCAGCAACACCTTCCCAGTCGCCATTGACTCCGACTGAGGTACTGGAAGCGCGAGAGACAGTTGAAGGACAGAAGAGAGTGAAGGAATCAATGAAGATGACGATGGCCGAGCTTGAGCAGGTGAACGCGAAGCTGGCGAAGGAGAACCAGCTCTACCATCGCCACAATGCGCACTTGCAGGAAGAGCTGAATAGGGCCAAAGCGCCAGAGGAAATTTGGATTTCCCGGTCAGGAGCGTGCTATCACAGGGCCAATTGCAATCACTGCCCTAGCACCTCTGCCAAATACCGGCAGTGTAAAGACTGCATGCCATAGCATTTCACGCTGACAGTGGACAAAGCAAGACAACAGATGACCGGAGTGAACATAACTACCTGGTCCATTCCACACATTCAGGTCAGCTGTACACAAGCATGAACAGACCGCGCAATCCGTCGACCGCAGGGGCCCCTTGAGTTTGCTCAAAACCAAGTTTTTCAGTCAGTTAGTTGGGGTGGAGCTTCCCAGGGGGGTCGCATCAATTTTCGTTGTACCATGCAAAATTGAGTATAATCATTCTAAATATCATTCATTTGTTGTATTTTTTCTGATTATTCCTTGCGGAACCTGTTGTCATGAATTGTCTGGGTATCAGTCACCTATCTAGCTCCTATTTGAGGGTCATTTCAGGGGTCGTTTTGGGGCCGTTTCGAGGGTCGTTCCAGACCCGTCCCATCTCTGCCTACTAGATCCCATTAACTCCTAGTATACTCCTAGTAGATTCCAGTACATTCCACTGCATCCCGACAAATTCCACTAGATCCCGGGGTCACATTCTGGAGGTCTTGCGTTTCATTCTGTATGCCGGCATCCTGTGCTCTGTAGCTACAAAATCCAATCAGAAGCCTTCCCCGTGAACATCAACAAGGGTGAAAACAGAAGATTTGCAGCACAAGTCTTCAAATTTTCTTGGTCTAGAACCATCAAAATACAGCCTTCCCCCAAGCGATTTGACATAGCTGATGTGACCATGATGTGAAGGGGTCGCATCGACTTCCCCGCATAGCTGCCCCAAAAAAGTTGATGTGACTAAAGGCCTTCACTGTACCAGAAAACAACATGCATGGGAATTTATGAACATTCACGAAAGTTAGCCAGCATCCCCAAAAATCCAGACCTGTTGAGAAGCACAGAATGACAGTCAACATCTTGGCATTTGACACAGGTAGAAGTGGAACCCGTAGTTTTCAAAACATTGATGAACATTTATTTTTTGACAGGCGGCTGAAAACGGTAACCCTGAAGCTGCGAATGAGCACTGGGCCCAAGGAGTGGCATTGCTGCTTTGTGGAGTTTTTGGCTCGGAGAATGACATTTAGTTCGTATGCAATTCAACATAGGCATGCCTAAAAACTTACCATAGACTCTCATTTCAAGCAGCTTTGCCAACGACCAAGGCTCGGCGTCATGTACCTTGCAGGGGAGGGCACATTTCCTGACGAGGCATTGACAGGGTGTCCATGGTGTCCGCCGTAGTTTTTGCTTCGTTTTCTGACAACTTTCAATTCCTATCGGTCTCAGGAACAGCAAATTGCATATATCCAAATATACCCATATATATATATATATGGAGGGCTAATTATTTTAGGTACTTTTTTTTGATCAGGTTTAGTTTTTTTTTTTGGATGCCTGCTTCTCTGCTGTTCCTGCTTTTCCTGCTTCTCTGCTTTTCTGCTTTCCTGCTTCTCTGCTTCTCTGCTTTTCTGCTTTTTAGCTTTTCCTGTTTCTTTGCTTCTCTGCTTTTTCTGCTTTCCCTGCTTCTCTGCTTTTCCTGTTTCTTTGCTTCTCTGCTTTTCCTGCTTTTCCTGCTTCTCTGCTTTTCTGCTTTTCCTGCTTCTTGGCTTGCTTTTCTGCTTCTTTGCTTTTCTGCTGTTTTGCTTTTCTGCTTTTCCTGTTTCTTTGCTTCTCTGCTTTTTTGCTTTTCTTCTTTTTTGCTTTGCCTGCTTCTCCGCTTTTCTGCTTCTCTGCTTTTCTTGCTTTTCTCTTTTCTGCTTCTCTGCTCTTCTCTGATGCATTTTGCACAATATTTACATCCCTGAGTATCACATTACATATCTCTTTTCTTGAAAACTGACAGCGTAACATGTGAGAAGAGGTGCTTGCATTCTGCTTTGGGGGGAGGTGCTGCGCCCTCCCCGCAATCCCCCCCTCCCTTTTTTTATTAAAACCCAATCCCCCCAATCCCCCCCACCCGCTTTTTATCTAAACTCAAGCTTCCGCATCTGTAAATACGTGACTTCTCATGTAAGATGCATTTTGCACAGTATTTACATCCCTGAGTATCACATTGCTTATCTTCTCTTGAAAGCTGTCAGCGTTACATGTGAGAAGAGGTGCTTGCATTCTGCTTTGGGGGGAGGCGTTGCGCCCTCCCCCCAATCCCCCCCTCCCGCTTTTTTGTATTAAAACCCAAGCTCGTAAATACATTAGTTGGGGTTGGTATGATGATGTGGTGAACATGATGGTGTGAATGCTAACCATGACCATCGTCCGCAGCTTGCATTTTTGCGAACCAACCTTCTCTTGAAAGCTGATAGCATTACTGTACATGTGAGAAGAGATGCTTGCATTCTGCTTTGGGGGGAAGCGCTGCGCCCTCCCCCCAATCCCCCCTCCCGCTTTTTTATATTAAAACCCAAGCTCGTAAATACATTAGTTGGGGTTGGCATGATGATGTGGTGAACATGATAGTGTGAATTCTAACCATGACCATCGTCCGCAACTTGCATTTTTGCGAATTAACCTTCTCTTGACAGCTTGGGGGTGACATGATGATGTAGTGAAGGTGGCCATGCCAAAATGTATCAAATCCCTTGGGGTTGGCATGATGATGTGGTGAACATGCTCACATGTAGAAAACACCATGCAAAATGGAAGGTGAACATGCCAACATGTAGCAAATCCCATGCAAAATGGAAGGTGAACACGCCCACATGTAGCAAATCCCATGCAAAATGGAAGGTGAACATGCCCAAATGTGGCCAATCCCATACAAAATATAGCAAATCCCATGCAAAATGGAAGGTGAACATGCCAAAATGTGGCAAATACCATACAAAATGGAAGGTGAACACGTCCACACGCAGGAAATCTCATGCAAAATGGAAGGTGAACATGCCCAAATGTGGCAAATACCATGCAAAATGGCAAATTCAAGGTCCAAACCGTTGCAAACACTAGGCAAATTGTACCAGCCAAGAAATCCAAAAAAAATTCCCAAACCTGCTCAAAAAAAAATCCTAAAACTATTTCACACCCTTTCATATATATGTGTGTGTATATATATATATCTATCCCATGTGAAATTGCCATCATCATGCCACATTGCCCCCAAAGGCATCCACCTCATAGCTGTTTGACATCCAGCTTCCCGGGCCACCTCCAGCTGATAGCAGTTGCGCTACTGTAGGGCGCCCTTTTAGGCACAAAAGCCCCATCTTGCTGCCGTGCGCCGTCGTGGGCATTTTGATCCCATATATATCCCATATATGGCCAAAAATGCCCAAAATAGCTGGACTCCGAACCGCTTGCTGAAACTGCTGGCAGTCTGCCTCGGCGTATTGGTTCCAGCGTGCGATGGAGTTGGAGGTGGGGGACGTCAACATTGGGCATCTCGTGGACACATTGGGTGTCACCAACCAAAATGGGGGTTTAAGCGTCACATGAATCGCACATAGAGATTTACAGCCAGCAATGGATACGGGTCTGAAAATGGGAAAATAGTGGACATGTTCGAATAACTATTCTGAGCAGCAGCTCCTCTACGCTCATTGACGCTTGAGGCCGATCATTTGAAATTTCGGAGGTCCACAAATTGACAACCGTTTTCTGAGGACCTGTATCCTCCTGCATGTCCAGCTGTCGCGAACATGTTGGAACTACTAGGGATTTAGAGCAAGACAAAACAAGAGAACATAGGGGAACATTGTGCAAGGACAAATGTTCAATCTCAATCAATATCATGCCAACAGGGTTTTTTCCCTTCTTCAGACGCGTGGTTTTAGCTTCGCAGCATGTTTTGTTTGTTCAACACGTGGATGGGTCTGGCAACCGCTGTGTCAGCAGGCTGATGCAAGACTATCCAAATCATTCCAAAACTCCGGCCCTGAAGTCTGCACAAGAAGTCTTTGACTTGAAGAATTAAAGCAAAAGTGTGTAGACGGGTTCAATTTCTGAGACCTGTTTTGCCAACATCTTGTGTAGTTTCCCCCAGAGGTCAGTCTCCAGAGGGCATTCCACTTGGATGTGATGGACTAAGCAACAAGGTAACAACGCAATGATTTGAAGACTTGCGCCATGGTCCTCGGCCGGAAGAAACCTGGCCCAGCACCCACATCCGAAGTAGGAGATCAGCTGCTGGAAGATGGCGAGAAGTTGTTGGCTGAGCAACGCTATGGCGAGGCTTACGAGTGTTTCCAGGGTGCCGTCAGCCATTTGCCGACCAAGCAGCTGGCATGGTACAACCTGGGTTTTTCAGCTTCAGAGCTGTGGCAAGCTGAAGCGGCTGAAGCCGGAGACGAGTTTCTGCCCAGGGCACTGGAGGCGTTCCGCACGGTGCTGCGCTTGGACACGTCGAAGCGGGCGGAGCTGCGGTACCTGAGTGCCTTGGCGCTGGGGCGGCTGCTGACCCGCCAGGCGGAACAGGCGGAAGGAGAGGAGTCAGCTCCGGTGCTGGAGGCCTTGCAGCACTTTGGGGAGGCCTGGCGATTGGTACAGGAATGGGGGGCACCTGACTTGGGCGCTGACTGGGGAGACTGGGGAAAGGCCCAAGCCTTGGAGATGAAACGACAAATAGAGAGAATAAAAGGCCTAGGCCCTGGCCTGGGACAGGTAGATTGGCAAGAGCAACTTCAGTTGCTTTCGAAGCTTTGCGAGGAAGCAGCAGAGAAGTTCACACGGGCGCAAACAGCCATTGATGATGAAGGCGATGAAGGCGATGAAGGCGATGATGGGATGGAAGAGAGGGATGTTGATTGGATGGTGCTTCATGTGGAGCACCTGCTGGAGTTCGTGAACTTTGCCAAAGTCGCTTTGAACAACTGCCAGTCTCTTGAAACCAAGACCGAGTGGCTGCGACGTGCCCTGCTCGCCTGGCGCTCTGCACTGACAGAGATTCTGGCTATTTGCCACTTTTTGGTGGTTTCATTCAGATTTTGTTTGACAATCAAGTGGAAGAATTCGTCAAAAGCAATGGAACTAAATTCCAACCATGAGGATATCTGATGATTTCGGGATATTTTGGGACCACTCGCAGATTGTCGGATGTTATCCACCCACTTTTGGGATGATGAGCTCAGGTGATTAGGTGATAGCCCATTTTTTCGCACCAAGTTTGGGATAATCAGTTGATATCACTTGTGTATTTTCCCTTGGATGTTTGGGTGCCACCAGGTTACCTGGCTCCGGGCTATGATGAATTGAAAGGAGACACCTTCGCAGCAGCTTGTCGCTTGCTGCTGGCCTCCCCTGCGACGGTCTCTGCTCTCAGATGCATGTCGTTGGGGCAGCTGTTTGGGGCCGAAACTTGGGCATTGAGGGAGGAACTTCACCTTTTGGATCGTTTTGGTGATGATTTTTCTGAGTTCAGTGACCAGCTTCTGCCCAGCAGGGCCAACCAACGAACAAGCAACAAAGCATGGCAGTGGAAGAGTATAATCATTTTGCTGAACTATCCAACCTTTGAAGTCTGAAGGTTTCATCGTTTAAATAAGAGTCGGGTTTGACTAAATGTTAAGTAAGCCCCCTCAAAATCCCCTCAAGCTGTTCCATTCCTAAACTTCCCCCAAGATTCCCCAAGATGTTCCATATTTGGCAGCAGAAATGGATGATAAAGGATTGAGAAAGGTCCTCCCATCCCAAATTTTGACATTTGAAAACTAGTTTTGGTTCCAGCCTCAGGAAGGCCTGTTGCTCCCCGAGCTCCCACGCCACGGCGCCAACGGCGAGCTGGTGGACCCACTGCCCCCTGCGGTGACGGAGGAGCAGCTGGCGGCGCTGGCGGAGGCCGCGTACGCTGCGGCGGGGGCCCCGCTGCCACTGGGGGAACTGCAGCTGGATCTGGGGCGCCTGGCGCTTGCACGGCAGCTGGATCCCAAGCCGCATCTGCAGAAGGCCAGTGAGGCCTTTCAGGTGGGGGTCCGGAAAGTGGAGGTTTCCTGGGATGCAGAAAAGATGAAATAGATTTTTGATTTTTAATTGGAAAGTCGTGAGGTTCCTTCTTTATCCCTTCAAAATCACTCAGATTCATGTTTCTTTTAGACAAGGAACACAAAAGCGCAAAGTTCCACCACTTGAAAGAACCCTGCAGGCTGCGGGAAAGAAGCGAGATGACAAGGCCATTGCCTGGTACAACTTAGCCTGTGTGGCTGGTTTGGCTGGGCGACCAGATGCTGCGGCCCGTGCGCTGAAGATGTGTTTAGAGGCTCTCCCAAAACCATCCGAAAAGGTCAGCTGGATGCAAGAGGCCCTGGAGGATGTTGATCTGCAACCTGTGATGAACTCACCCGACATGCAAGCTGTGCAAGCTCTTCTGCCACAGAAAGAAAAACCGAAAAAACCATTGGGTGGATATGCGCCAAAAACAAGATTGGGGGGTGCAGGGTTTGGCTGCCACGGGCTTGACGTATAGAAATGGGTATACCATCCACCACAACTGGTTTATCATATCCACCAACCCTTCCTCTCGGTCCGGAAGTTCCGCTGACACATGACCAGTTGCACCATCCAAGTTGCAGGTACTCTCAAAAAATTGGATGGAGTAATTTAAATAGCAGTAGGTAGATATTCAAAGTTGGGATACTGTGGTCCAAACTTTGAAATTTTGGGATGGACGAATCCATGGGTTATCTATGGTTATCTTAGTTGTCTCCCATGCTCGGTTAGAGTTCCGAGGAAGAGCGCTTGGCAGATCTGAAATATGGTGCATCGTGATGGCTGCTTCGAGGTTGGGAATTTCATGGCGACTGGGTTGGGGTTGAGATTCACCATGGTAAACATGCCATTGCTAAAGGTGAGAAAATTGAATCAGTATCAACGGCTTGAATGAACGTTCAAGAACGAATTAATTAAATTAAACCAATCCTTTTTTTCGGTTTTGGTTTTACAATCGACCTCAGTTCAAAGTCCAAGGGTCTGCCTGCGGTTTCAAACACAAGGTTTCAGTCCTCCGACAGGTCAAGGTGAGCAACCACAACTTCTTCGCTCCCGGTGCCCTTGCCGCATATATGATGCTCCACTTGCACTATCACTGGAATCACACACACACACACATTTGCGTTGTGCATGATACCTTGAATACCCTCTCTTGATTTTTCTTCTGAACTATCTTATCTTTCCCTCAAGAGAAAAAGAGCCGGAGCTGAGCTTGCGTGTTTGCGAGGCTGCCCTTGTGTCCCTGCAACAGCTATCAACCCTGATGGCGCGCACGGAGCAGCCCCTGTGAAGGACTCGGGGTGGCAAGTACATGGACTTGGCAGTGTCAAAATCTCATCAGGTAGAGGCACATCTCACATCTCAATATAGTCTACATACGTCTACATACTGTAGCTTTTTCACTTTTTCCATAGTCATCCAGGGTTTGACCACATCACTTTTGGAGATGTTTTGGGAACACGTGTGAAGGAGGCATAAGAAACTGAAACTTGAGACATGATTGACATGATGACATTTTTTAGGCGATCCGTGAACGCCCAGAACTCGCATGATGAACAGCAGCGTGGCTGTGCTTGCCCGGGATGGAAAGGAAAAAGGGGATGCACTTGCTGTGCTGGCTGTAGCAGAGCATTTGTTGACATCTTGTGCATCCCCAAACTATTTCTAACATCTTAACATCTTCTAAGTACATCCTCCAAGTACTTCCGTGTGCTGCCATTTTGGCTCAACTTGGTCCAGACTGAAAGCTGCCGGGTGACCCCTCTCCAGGGCAGGCCAGTGGGCCGAACTGTTGCGGAAGGGATCCAGTCATTGAGACTCCGCCAGGCAGCAGAACCATGGCCCTGGTAAGTACGGGTGAGCCAGTCTCATCCTGAGGACGTATTGAAGATGCTCTTTTGGCAGGTAGAAGTTCTTAGGTAGCCCTGGCTGTGTAGCGTGGAAAGAGCGTCAATCTTTCAGAACTGTTCGAGACACATGTGAATGCGTCATGGATCAAAATTACAGATTTCAACTGGTTTTGGCTGCGTTTCATGGGAAATCCACACGAAATAATCCATTCTTTTGCTGATCTAAATGGTGTTTTGATCAATCCCTCAGGCGGCCAAGAGGCAAAAGTATACCGGCGGCGCGGAGCTTGCCTGGGGCCACAGTAACCTCTGGCTCACGGCTGGGTCGTTGCTTCCTTGGGCTTGTGCACCGAGATTTAGAGCATGGAACTATCCAAAATTCCAATCTCCAGTGGACAAGATTCACCAGATTTCATCCAGGGTCCAATTTTTGTTTGGGACTTTCTATGTGAACTGGCAGGAAGTTCTGTTGCCTCAGCCTGATGACCGAGGTCCCAGCACTTCAGGAGCAGCTTATCCATGTGTGGAGCTCGGTGCTGGAAATCACTGTGGTTGGGAGGAACTGTTCTCAAACTGCTTGGAATTTTCTGTGGAATGGTTCCCATCGTTTGCTGCGGGGCGGAAATCGACATCTCTGGCTGCATCTGCTTCAAGTCATCCCAAGCCTGTCCCTTCCAGTTGATCCCGCTGCGCTGAGGTTCAGCATGTGAACAGAAAAAGTGGCCTTTTCGGGCCCACAATGTTGCTGACTGGTCACGAGGGAGAGGCCCTTTGCTGACACGAGGGCTTGGATTGGTAGACAGGAGACAACAGAAGCTTGTTTTTGATCCTTGTGGATCCTTGTGGATCCTTGTGCCAATTGCTTCAGTTGAAACTTCCGGAACTTCTAGGCTCTTGCTGATCCACCAGGTGTTTTGCGCAGAGTTCTCTCCTGATGGACGAGCCTTAGCCACTGGCTCCTTTGACAAATCCCTGTACCTCTGGCACGTGGGGGAGCTTGGAGACGTGTTTGCTGAGTTTGCTTCGGTTTCCAGGTGCATTTTCTGGGCTTAAGATGTGCGTACGGATTTTCACAAACAACGATGCAATTTAGCCCCATGGAAGTGACACCTTCGTCAGTTCAAAACTGGAACCACTTCTCAAAGCTGTACAGATCTAGCCACAGATGTATCAGAACTCATGGTGGCCAGTAGTGAATCATTAGTGGTCATTCCACCCCACCCTTCTGCAGAATGACACACTCGTGGCCCAACAACGATGCAGGTTTACGGCGAATGCGAAAACTATGGCGTCATGAAGGGCCACGCAAATGCCGTCCTTGAGGCCGAGATATGAGCCATGGTCAAGGGGTAATCATCTCAGAAAACGGGTCATTACTTGAAGAATTGAGGGTCTATGTAATCTATGTATCTCTGTATAGTCAATGTGAGTCTAAAGTGATTCCTACAGCCGGATATCCATCCCCGGCGTTTATTGTTTGACCAATGTTTGACCATGGAAGATTTTTCAGATGCAGTTGACCATGTGATGTCGCCATCCAGCCTGTTGACAGGTTCACTGGAAACATGATGGTACTCAGCTGTATACCTGCTCCGCAGACAAGAGCGTTTGTGTTTGGGACCGCTGGGCAAGGTTGGACATTTGGACATTTGGACAGGGATGCTTGGAATCTTAGGGATGCTTAGCCGCTTAGCCACAGCACATTTTTTAGTGACCTGGCGACCTGCCCAGCAGGCTCATCCACTAGGCATCCCGGTTTTACCCTCTGGTAATTTAACATAGCCATGGAAAATCACCATTTTTTATGGGAAAATCCACTATAAATGGCCATTTTCAATAGCTATGTTAGTTTACCAGAGGGTATCCATTTTGTTCAAACACATGGTTTGTTTTGGTGCCCAATGTTGACCCCAAACACCACCTGGGGACCTTTGACCAGGACCCCGAATCCGGCAAGCGCTTGAAGAAACTCAACGGGCACACCGCCATCGTGAATAGTATGCAGGTGCCATCTGCAACGGGTAGTGACTTCCCTGGCAGAGACCTTGCTTTCAGATCAACCAAAGGTTGGAAGATGAGTTGGTCATGTTTGGTTGCTCAAGTTGCCGATGGAAGAAAGGTGATCTCTATAGGAAGCTGGTTTGGATGAGCTCCAAATGATTTCTGGCTGCAGACTTCCCGACGTGGCGTTCCATACCTGGTAAGTGGAGGAGATGATGGTGCCCCGCAACGTTTGAAAGACAAAGGGCACAAACATGAGCGAGGGAAAGGGATGGCAACCAGTGGTAACCCATTGCACCATGCAATCATGTTGAAGCCACGAGTGCTGCATCGGGCATTCATTTTGTTTTTGAAGCTAAATTGTGAATGTGGAGTCATCGGGTGAAGAGCTTTGCTTTAGATCCTTGCAAACTGCAGTGCGATGAATTCATGCGTATCCTTTCCCTGTTGTGGCTACACACAAAGCTCTTGCAGCAGTAAAGTCCTTTTGGGAGGCCCCTGGAGGTGTTTGAATCATCTTGGTATAGAAATGCATCATGTTCGGCCATCAGGTACCACGAAGTTGTGGGATTTGCGCGTTCGGCGATGTGTCCGGAGGCTCAGGATGATGCACATGCAGCTTTTGACAAGAGTTGACGGCCAGATTTTGGGAAGGCTTCAAGATTCCGAACTATGTACATGAACAAAGCCTTCCCGTTACTTTCTTGCTTGCCGCTGTGAATGTTCGTGAAATTGCTTTCTTCAGTGGGATAGCTAGCCCACTGCAGCATCCCACCACAAAATAATGCGACAAACGGTCTTCATTTTATTGATAAGGTCTCAAATAAATTGTTTCCAATTGCAAGGTTCCGAAGAACACATTGGCACACGAGGTTCAAAGAGACGTGCTCCCAAAAATGCAATGTTTGCCAACAAAAAGGTCGAAAACACCAGAATCCCAAGAACAAGGTAAGCCACAGAAGGTTTGAGGTGCAAGACAAACATGCATGAAACCGTACGCCCTTTGCCGCCGTTGAGTTTTGAGCTGATTCGATCATTTAAGACTAATTTACGATGTCAACAGTTCTCTCAGATGTCTTGAACATATCATTTTGATCCATTTTTTTAATACTGTAGATTTTCCATTTTTTTTGCACCTGACATTTCTGGATCCCGAGGTGCACACCTTTGAGCATCAGTGCGCCGACGCGTTGCCTTGGTTTTCGTTGCATCACGACGCATGCTGTGAAGGTACCAAATCCTGGCCGTCTCCTTTGATGACACCGCAGAACGCATCTTCTCAGGGTGTGGATGCTGATCTGCTGGTGGATCTCCCACTTTTTTCTTCCCCTTTTGTGAACAGTTTCAGAAAAGAATTTGGAGGACTGACCCAGCGGACTCCCCAGAAAACTGGGACCGGTCAATGTGGGTTTGACATACTCCAACTGCCTCTTGGTTGAAGGGGCTATGCAGGTCATTGGACAATACTGTCCTGATCTACGACATGAGGATGCGAGACCAAGACCCAGAGGTGCCCGTCGGGGCCAGGAGAGTGTCCCCAGGCCATCCCAGGCCGATGGGCCAACCATTTTCAGGGACACCTGGATAGATCAACATGATGGGCGATGACGATCTCAAGAATGAGGACTTAGTCTTGAAAATGCCATCAAACATGGTGAGTCAGTTTTCAAACCTTGAATTGCCCTCTGTTAAACCAGAGCTTGTGGACTGGAACTTGAGTGTTTGTGACCCAAGAAGTATTGTGATCATTTAAGGCTCAGAAATTAGGCTTCAGACCTACAGACTTGGCATCCAACAGCATTGAGCACCGGGACCCTGATGGAAACGACTGAGGTGCTGGAGGGCCATGGCGACAGTATTACCGGCCTGGATGTCTCCAAGGACCTGGGATGATCTGGGATGCATGAATCCAGGTTGCAGTCAATTTGTCAAGAGACCAGAGCTGATTACCCTCTGGTAATTTAACATAACTATGGACAATCACCATTTTTTATGGGAAAATCCACTATAAATGGCCATTTTCAATAGCTATGTCAGCCATTACCAGAGCTGATCACCACATTTGTGGCTGGGGGACAGGGCCATTTCCACGACATATCGCCAGGATGGGAACTTCTTGGCGACAAATTCCATGGACAACACGGTACGCATTTGGGACGTTCGGCCCTTCGCTGGCCAAAGGACTGGGGTTCCGGGCAGGAGGCAGAAGCGTGGACCAAAGAACTACTATATGGCTATGGATCAATACCTATACATACCATTTTTAGGGGGATGAACATCCATTTACCAGCTATTTTGAGGTTCACCAGGGGTGCAAGCTTTTGACCCATAGCCATATTTCTAGTCCACGTTTTTTGCAAACTTTGATGATGAACTTACTAGTGTTCTTAACTGACAAGTACGGTCCTTCTTTTTTGTTTTGGTTTCATATCAGATCATTGGTTCTGGTACATGAATAACCTATGGGCCAATGATGACCACTAGGAATTCCTGCAACACAGATTTCCTTTGAAGTCTTAAGAACACGTCACCCGTGAATACATATATACATGTTTCAAAGGTCGTGACATCAATTGCAGAACTGCTTTCTGTGCTGGATAGTCCTTCAAGTTCGTCAAGTGGGGGGTTGTTCGAGAATGGCGTTACTCCAAACTTGAAATTTCGCTGCAACCCTGATTTTTGCCCGCGACTGATCCCGCATATCAGCATATCTATTGACATGCTCAAATCCCTGCGTACTGTAGGGCTGGCGTTTTTAAACTTTCCAAAACAATAAACCCTAAACCTCTGAAACCCGAAACCTTAAACCCCTCAATCCTGAAATCCTACAACCCTAAATTCCAAAATCCTGAAACCTAAAGTCAAAATCGCTGCGTATAGCCAGTGTTTTCGTTCATCCTCAGGTGACCATTATATGACATTGTTTGGGTGTGTTATTTGGATATGGGCGAAGGTCCGGGTTGGGGTGCAGCCGTGAGACTTGCAAGGGTTGTAGATTGAATCCTGTGGTGTATAGGCTACAGTATCATCCCATTGTGTTAAGCTAGGTGGTGTGACCCTATGTGAAGCTGGTGAGGAATAGATGCCTCCGAATCATGCGAGGCACGGTCCCAGCTCACTGAAGAGTCACTTGGGTGTGGGTCAACATTTAAGGATCGGTGGGATCCTCTTACTTTTCTCAATTCTCTGTACTGACCATCCAATTTCAAAGGGAGAATTTTTACCAGATACCCTTTTACCACTGTGCTATGAGTGTGTTGAGTTTAGTTTTGGTCGTCACAGAAAGGAGGTGATGTAGCATCAATGCAGGTGCGACACATAATTTCGAGAAGAACCTCTTGCGTGCTTGGCACCCAAGAAACTCTTTCAAATTGTCTTGGGACTGAGGCTGATGAAGAAATGGACACAATTTGATCCGTGCTTGGAGATCAAACTTTCATGATCTGCTATCTTACCTATTTTTTGCCTACATCCGCAGGTTTGTTTCGTCAGTACCACCACTTTGGTGACCTTGGTGTGTTTATCTCCTCACTTTCATCCGCCATATCGGCTGTATCATATTCTGCATGCTTTCGAATAGAGAACCTCGGCAGGTGTCCCGGATGGAGTTGATGGATAGCTCGATGTCTCCTTTTCGATAAATGACATCCCACATATCACATATCCCATGTTTTCTGGCTCAAGCTCGGCAAAGGTTCGCTGGTCCGAGAAGGATGCGCTGCTTGCAGCCGGATCAGCATGCCAGAACGTACTCCTGGCCTGTGAGAGGGTAGAAATTGAAGATGGAATCAATAAACCTAGGGGCGCAACCAACAAAGCTGGGGTCTTGACCAACAAACATGATTCAGTTCCAATCCATAAACAGGGATATTATATAACCAATTCAGAGGAACATTTTTTAAATAAGTGTCCAAACTAGTACTATATCATGAGATCTACAGTAATACGACAGTAATACTATATAAAGCAACCACGCCAAAGGCTTCTTGACAACTCGACCCCCGACGGGCCCGACGGGCCAGGTGAACATTTGGGACATGAAGATGCTTCAGCTCGCATACAGGTTTGCTGCTTAAATCTGCTTAAACATTTCCAAGTTCACCCTTAGGCCTTAGGCAAGCTAACTGATATAGTAATGGAACATTCCGAGTATTTCCCATTGGGCTTTCTACTTGAGTCTTGGTGTATATCATAAGATGTTCAGTGCCAAGCAGATGGCTTCTTGAGCTTTCCTACGTCAGTTCAGCAGATCTCAGATGTGTTTCGTTGATTCCATTGACGTCACACGTAGAAACTTGCGATGGGATCCCCTGTCTGTACCATCTGAACTCAGCAACTCAGCATGGCCCGAGGCTCCCAGGACACACGGGCAGTGTGAACGAGGTCTGCTTCCATCCCAAGGAGCCCATCATTGCCTCGGTCGCCTCCGACAGGAGCCACGGCTTTTCAATGGGATATCTGCTGCAGTATCTGAGCCAAACCTCCAATTTTTGGTAGGGAAAATGATGACTCACAAATTTTTGGGTACCATGGGGTGCCATATTTTGAGACGAACCCTCGGAAACCAATGAGAAACCATGAAGCTTACTGTCTTAGGGCCTTAGGGGTTCGAAATTACCGCCCAAGATCTGGGAAGCTGCAGGATGGTCTTCATGGGCGAGCTTGGCGACTGAGTCGTGGCAGTTGTCGGCAGCATCAACGGTGGGACGCTGAATATCAGGACATGTTCAAAGCAGTGGAAGCCGTAAAAAGACAGATTCATCAATTGATAATTCTGGAAATTGGCTGGTTTGCTATTCTGCAATCACTGGTCAAATGTTTTTGTTTGGAGTTTTTACTGCTTGCCCTATGGAGCATGGCTTGTCATCTGCGTTCCACCAACATTGAAGCTGCCAACCCTTGTGCATCTCACGTATGGACACAGCCGGTCACGGCATCGTGTGCGAGACGCTTGTGGCGAAAGAAAGGGACGGATAGGACGTGCTGCTGTACACCACAAGTGATTTGGAGGAATGCGGAGCAGAGTAGCAGGATTTCCGTGTGATGATTGTGGTGCAGCCATCATGGGTTATCTGGTGCTTGAGTCAGGTCTGTTTCTGCCGATGTTTTTGTAAAGTGTACATGAGGATCTCAGTGGATCTGTGATATGATGCCTCTTTTGGCTCAGCGGGTCTGTGTGCATCAAGTGATATCAAGTGACCAAGGACCCAGTGGATTGACATTGCAAGGAAGAGCCATGTCTTGATCTCTCCACTGACGTCTTTCACGAGAAGACCGAAATTGTAGCCTCATGAAGCATCAACAGCGTGAATGGATGTAAATGGGCATGTCATCAACGCCCTGTCGGATTATCACTTACCTAAATGTCTGCGTAGCCAAGTCAACCGCAAGCGCCCTTTGACGCGAATTGCGAGCTGATCCTGGATCATGTGCTGTCGGGCCGGTTTGAGAAAGTAAAGTGACAGCTCTGCAGTTTTTGAAGATTTTCGTGAGCATTTTCTCCGTTTGTTGGCCATGCCAGGGACTCGAGTCACTTTCAGAAGAACCCATGGTTGCGACAAGTGTATTGGGCGGAGGTGTCTTGCTGTGGGTTGTTTTGTCTCAGCTGCTTCTTACTTCATACAGTTGTTTTATGTTTTTTTTTTCCGGTTGATTTGGACTTTCTCACGAACTTGGGTGGGAGCTGGCAGTACTATGTTCATTTTATTTGCATGAGTGTGTCTATCATCTATATAGTCGTCCTTTAGAATGATATCCAGATTGTGGTTGGTACATTCCCATTATGATGGATATCAATTATATTCCCATTATGATATTCTCATTATTCTAATTATGATATCCAGATTCTGGTTGGATTGTGGTTGGTACATTCCCATTATATATAACATCCCAGTATTTTTTCATGGGAATATTAAGCATCCCCATATAATCCCAGTATAATATCCATTGTGGTTACATTCCCATTACCCTCTGGTAAACTAACATAACTATGGAAAATCACCATTTTTAAATCCACTATTTCTATGGCCATTTTCAATAGCTATTTTGACATAACCAGAGGGTATACAGATGTGAAAATTCCCAGTATCTCCAGGCATCTCCAGAGGATTTCCCCATCGCCAGGTGTGCAAACGAGAGGTGAAACCCCATCTCTTCGCACGCAGCAGGGCCTTCGCACCGAGGTCCAGAGCCAAAAAGCCAAAACAGAAAAGGTTGAATTGACCAGAAAAATATCCAGTAATTGTTCTATAGGATGGGTTCACGGTGCATTTTACAGCAAACCATGATTGAACCATCCATGAATTTGGAAATGGAAAATGTCTCTAAGTCAAATCCGAGTAATTGTTCTAAAAATATTTTATGATATTTTATGTTTCTATTTTTTTTAAAGAATGATTTGCGAACACTAGAATCAATCAGTTGAGTGGACAGGTGATTTGAGGCGATGCTTTTGGGTTAAACATGGTTAAACATGGTTAAACAAACCATCTTCGCAGAGTTGACGAGAAATGATTCAGTCAAATTGAGGGTGCCATAGTGTCAAGACTTGGAGGATAGTCATGATTTTTTTATACACACCCAATTTCAGGATTCCCATTGTGGGATGCATGTCCATATCCCCCCCCAAAAAAAAACCTACTGTGACCATGGCACAATTGTCGATTTGAACCATGTGCTGAGAAAAGTTGTGCCAGGAGCTTTCCAACTTCCACAATGAAGGCTCACTTTGGTGCCTGCGAGGTGGGCACAGATCTCTCTGGTTTTGGAGACCTCCGGGACTGGAATCGCGACTGAAACACCGACAGGACCTTGGGGTGATTGTCGAGAAGCGGCCGCTGGTGGCTTAGCGAAGATTCGTGCGCAAGTTGGGTCTCCAGCGAAGATCCAAACGAGCAGTGGATGCTTTCCGGTGTCGCGCAAAGATAGAGTACATCATTACATCCCATCAAACCTTTGCAAACTTTTAGGAATGAAGAAACTCTTGTCTTTTGAAGCTACACGTACTACACCCTTTCAGAAAGGCTGAGTTGGAGAGTTTCTTCGGCAAGGCCTGGTGTGCCACTGGCCATAGTTTCACAAGATCTCCGACCTAGCACTGTGGGCGCTGCCTCGCAAAGGAGCTGCGGTTTGACTGGGGTAGCCGGGTAGCCGGGTAGCCGTCGTTGTAGCCCTTGATTTTTGTGATATCTTTTCTTTTGATAGTACCGTAACACCATGTAACACCCACTGAATGCCAGATTTGGATACAGTAATTTTTGGGGAAGCTTGGCATCCCAAGCCCGGCCACATGGAGACTTTGGTTTTCTACGATGGGCTCGAACTTTCATTTCAACTTCAATATCTTCAATGGGTTTTGTGCGGCATCAGTGATGCTTGGGTTCTGATGCTGTTCGCGTTCACTGTGAGGACAGGAACGCCCAGGGTCGAAACGACTTCAAGGCCAAGCACGACTGGAATCTCCAGCAGGTCACAGGCCGCTGGGGATTTGACATGTCAACATGTGGGGAGCTTCGGGTGTGTTTTGTGTGGGAGGATGTGTATGTCCAAGTGGAAAGTAAGACATTCCCTAATTAAATCACAACATGATACAATATGCTCCTCTTTGGAACTTGTGGTTTCTAAACATTATGGGACATGTTTCAAGTACATTCACGTGCCGATGTCATGACTTTGTGGTGTACGAGCCGACAAGACATCAACCCCAGTCATGGTGCTTGCTGCTGTGCCCAGGTGAATACCATCGACAGGGTCGCAGGCGCACAACAGAGCTTGACATGGCAAAGGTGTCAGAACCACCCTATGATGGAGTTTATTTCGGAACATCTTGGAATACTGTTTGAGCACCAATCATCCTGTATATATCACCATTGACGATTCAAAACAGTAGGATGTATTTTAAGAAGGGTGTTAGTGCCCATTGATGCTGCGGTGATGCTCTCAACATTTTTTTCCCCTCAAAATGAGGAGAGTGAAGTCCAGACATGCTGCAAGGCGCGACATTGCCTGAGCTAATGAGGTCGAGGCTGAGCTGAAAGGGGTGTTGTGCATTTTTCTTTGGGTTAAGGTGAAAGTGGAATTTGTTTGATTTTCTTAGCCATTTCTTTTGTGCGCTTCCTTTGTTGAATTTCAGGCGGGATATCTTCATTTGGGGCGCGCGGTATGAGAAGATATGAGAAGGATTTGTTTTCTTTAAGACCGGAGAGTTTGAATGTGTCCCAAGTCAAGACACCAAGATTTGGTATCAGTGTTGGCAGTCTTGTGTTTCTCTGGTTTCAGGGCTGGTTCTTCATCACTCCCCCTCCATTCCCAGCAGGCATCCCTTGCTGGAAGTCAGCTTGCGAAGTGCCATAGCTTAGCTGTAGTGACTCTGGTGCATGACCTGTTGGTTTTGAGGTATCCTCTCTATTGTGCACATCCGCGTGCTTCAAATCCGATTTGAATGATCGATTTCTCGGAAGCTTCCAGAAGCGACAGGATTGCATCCTGAAAGCATCACAAGCGGATCCACTGGCAATGCTGATCGGTTTGAAAGTCAGAGCTTGTTCCAATATCTAGCACCCCAGCAGTTTTTAGGCTAGGCCAGGGTCCATGGGGTCCTTTTCTCAAAAATGACAGCTGCAGAATTTGCATTTCAAATGAGTCCACTGAGGTGCGCGACTGACCCCCAGCCAAAGACCGCCTGCAGGGGTCAGCCGAGCGCAGAATGGGGTGCCGATCTGGGGTTGATACTCCCATTTCTAAGGGGGCTGAAATCACCAACATGATGGATGCCCAATTTTGGGTGATATCCGCATTTTTGAGGGCTTTCATTGATTTTCATTGATGACTTAAAAAGAGAATCAGCAACCAGCATAAAATGCTCAGGTAGCCCAAAATGACAATGTGATATCTCGATGGGAAACAGGAATGCGATCATGATTTTCCACAAACAGGGAATTTTCGTTGGCATGTGATTTTTTATGTAGCTTGTATATGATATATATATATATAATATATAATATATATAATATAATATATATATATTATTAAGGCGTTCTTTTCACTTACACGCGAGTTGATCTGATGGGACGAACTGCACTTAATTTCCATTTCTAGTGACTTTGGCATCCTCTGGTATCCTGTGGGTGTGGCTATGGCATCCTGTAGTATCGTTCTGCCAAGATTTGTCATGATTGTGGCATCGAGGCATAGCATGGTGGAGCCCGAGTCGCAGTGGAAGTGCCGCTGTACCAACGACTGCCCAAGCCGGACAGCCGCGTACACAGCGGCGGCCGTGGAAGAGAGACCAGTTTGGTGAAAGTACTCCAAGCAATGAAAATATGCTTGCAACGTGTAAGTGTAACCGTGTAACCAAACGATTAATGACTTGTTTTGGGGGAAAGTTGGAACTTGATCTCTGACTATTTGTGGTGGTTGCTCAACGAGTCTCACGAGTCTTCAATGCAGCTGAAGAGCGGCAGCATTTCGATAGCTCAAAGACTTCGCAAAAACATGCAAAAACATTAGTTGCGCTGTTACTGAATGTTGACTTTGCAAGCATAAGCAGTTGAAAAGGACACTGTTTCATGCTTACAACTGATTGGCTTGGGAAACCTCAGGGAATTCTCGCAACACCACAAGGAGGTGCTTTATAGCTCTTTTGATGTGAAGTTGTCGTTGAGCCGTCTTGAACCTAGCGAGACCTACTTCCTACCGTGGGGCTGCTAGGCTCAACCTGACGAAAAGTCCTCGAAATTACTGCAGTTCAGTGGAATCAGCCAATCATCAGCCACTTAAGGGGATGGAACAGCCCTTTTTGTATGGCAGCTTTCGATTGCCCGTGACGCCATGGCAGCTCGGGGTCAGAACTGGATGTTGACTTTGCAGAGAATCTTGGGTCGAATTGCTGCGGAGAATCTTGGGTGGGAGAACAGCTGAAGTGATGACGAGGTCACGAGCTCCGAAAAGGATAAAAGGAAAACACAATAACCTAAGTCATGTATACATTTATATATATATATATTCACACATATGTATATATATATATACATATCATATATGCATCCTTTGCGAAAGTGATCCCATGGTATCCCAAAACAGCATCATGTGGAGGTGGTGCGAAAATATGTCAATGTGATCCGCAGCCCACTTTACATGTCCTTGAGTACAGACTCTCCGTCAAACAAAACATTTTTGCCTGCCTTCATTCTCTCCACCTGGAGCAAAGGCATAGGCATGCATGTTTCCATCTTTGCAATATTGATTCACACGATAAATTACTCTCACACAATAGATTGTTCACTATATAGAACAATAGTTGTTAAAACATGATACAAAAGGAAGACAAAGATAACGTAATGGGACGAAATTCAAGATTTGCTGGGATTTTAGAGAATATCACTGCAACAAAGTCACTCCAAAGGAACTGGCTGAGGTCCTGCTATTCCCACGATTCCGATAGCTGAAGCTCTCTACGCCGCGACCATGACGTCGTCTTGGCCTGCGCCTTGGCAAACAGAACATGCAAGTGATAGGAATAGCTTGAACAGGTTGAACAGGTTCACAGAGAAATTTTCACACAGACAGAATAGTGATAGGATGCAAAACGCCAATAGTGATAGATGTGGAGAATAGAGCTCGGGGGGAATTCAGTATCCAAGACATGTGTTTTTCAGTTTTTTTAATCTGAACGTGATATGAAGGAAACTGCACATGTGTCCATCATATGAGTTCCCCTTGAAATGATTTTCACCTGGTTTCAGCCTGAGACCCTGGTCATGCGCTTGGTGGTTGAATGGGACTTCAAGTAACATCACCGGAGTTTGAGAAAGCCCCTTCACCGCCTTACATATTTGCCATATTTTGCCATGATATTGGTAAAAAGTGATCCCTAGATATCACAAGAATATCACATTTTTTTTTATTTTACCAATTTTACCAAATTTCATAGTTGGCATCCCCTCCAATTGATTTGGAGAACCCCATCAACATCATATCAACTCCTCAGGCCAGATTTCAGAGGCGAAGCATTCAGGGAACCATGTGGGAACCTTTCAAGAACGGTTACAAGAACGGTTACTGTAGAAACATAATATGGGGGTTTCCTAAAATAGGGGTACCCCCATCCAAAATCAGACTACTTTAGTATTAAGACCCATGGTTTTGGGGACCCCTCATTTCAGGAAACCTCCGTATGCTCCTTTTTCTTTGTTTTTTTGATTGAACACTCTGCTGTTTTTGGGTTTGATGTTATATTTCGGTACACATCTCGACTTTTCAAAGTGTTGATTGGATGCAGAGATGGATTGACGAAACGAACACGTGGATCCATGTCAATCCCATTGGTGACTCTTTGGTCCCTGCCCATGGAGTCAGCCAAATGTAATGATGTCACCCACTTCCAACTGGACAACTTGTGTCGAACTTAGGGATTGGAACTTTTTCATAGTTCATGGGACCACTATGACTGGGATGATGTAAAATGACCCCCAGTCACGGGTTGGTTAATGGCATGGCTTATGGCGTTGGGCTTACCATGTTCATGATCACAACATCCCTGGCCTTGATGCCTGCAGCCGTTTTGAAACTGTCGCCAGCCGCGCGGAAAGGATGTTCACACCAGGTGCGAGTGCAGTGGTAGGGGTCTTGAAACTTGATTAGGTCAAACTTGCTCAAATTGAACAAGTAGCTGAACATCCCTTTGGGATATGAACAGAAGGGTACCATGCTACAAATGTTGAATGGTGGAATTTACAATCTTCCATTTTTTCGAGCTAGCTCAAAACATGTAGCTGGCTCAATTTCATCAGGGGTATGTTTTGACAGTCACCTTGGGCTTTTTCAGAGGTACCATATCTAGTACTAAAGTAATCAGTGGGGACTGAACCTGGCAATTTAACACATTGGGAAATTCCTGCGAACTCGCTCAACTGCAACGAGCTGGCTCAGCACCATCGAGCTCGCTCAAACACATCGCTCTAGCTCAGGAGCATCGAGCTAGCTCAATGGCATCGAGCTGGCTCAATTTTTTCAACGAAAAAAAAAAACGAAAAAAAAAAACCACCAAAAAAATTGAGCCAGCTACGTCACGTTGAGCTGGCGGACGAATGTGAGAGCATCAAAACGAATACTAACTATGTATTGGCCAGGTTCATGACGCATTGGCGAGCCGGCTCAAGGGCATGTAGCCGGCTCAATTTCTGCGAGGTTTTTTTTTCCTTTTTTTTTTTCGCTAAAAAAATTGAGCCAGCTACGTGGCGCTGAGCCAGCTACGAGGCGCTGAGCCAGCTACGTGGCATTGAGCCAGCTACGTGGCACTGAGCCAGCTACGTGGCACTGAGCCAGCAAGGTAGCTTTGAGCTTTGAGCTAGCAAGGAGGCAGTGAGCCAGCAAGGTAGCTTTGAGCTTCATCATATATATATATATATACCTATGCAATCCCAAGCATATAATATACTAAATCTAGGGCAAAACAATTTTTTTGAGGGAGACACGTACCTTTGAGCTGGAGCGGGAATGTGAAATCTACCATTCGAAAATGACTCATGCCTCTGACGAACTTGTACAGTATGTTGTTACTTGTTCACCCAGAAGCAACTGTTCTCAAAACGCTTGGCTTCACAAACCGGTTAGATGGGTCAAACGTTGATAAATACTCCGTGTATATATAATTATATATATAGATAGTGTAGACACATTGTTCTTTTTCCAAACCTGGGGCTGATGCTTTAAACATCCCACAGCCCAGTCACCAGGTGGACGTCGGAAGGTGCGCACCGCGGCGGATCCGCCGATGCCGCCTGACGAAGCCTTGAAGATGTTGAAGGAGGGCAATCGTCGATTCGTGAAGGGAGAACCTCAGGCAGCTTAGTCTGGTGGGAGTTGGGTCAGAAGGACAGATCGAAAAGATCATGTTTGTGTGATGAATGGTGAGAGATTTTATGATTTCATGATTGGATTAATTGGATTCTGTGATTCATTGGTTTTCTCGGTTTTCTCGTGCTTCCAGACTTAGGCAACCCGTACCAACGAGGGCATGCGAAATGCTCTAGTCGATATGGGACAAGCGCCGCACACCGCCGTCATCGGATGCGCTGATTCCCGTGCGCCTTTGGAAACAATTTTCGACGCAATGCCTGGGGATATCTTTGTGCTGCGAAATGCGGGCAACACCTGTACACACGCAGAAGGCAGCATGGTGGGTAGCTTGGAATTTAGCACCGGCAAGCTGGGTGCCCAATTGATTTTGGTTCTTGGCCATACCAAATGCGGTGCGATTTATGGAGCGACCAATGCCTATTTGGAGGCAAAGAATAGTGAAGTTAGCAGTGTCAATTCTGCCCTGGAGGGCCTTTTGCTGGACTTAGCTCCAGTTGCTGAGAAGGCTCTAGCGGACATGGGTTCCAACAGTGACTTGGATAGACTTTGGCAAAGGACGCTGTGATGGATCTTTGCCAACAGCGTTCCAACGATAATCGCGGATGAAAGCCAAACATCAGAGGCAAAATTTTTGCTCGTAAGTGCCGTTTGGTTCTTCTTGTATGTTTCTGCTTCATGTAATCATGGCAGATGCCACATGGATTCCCATTGCAGGAAACCCTCACCAGGAAGGAATAGGAATAGGCATGATGTCTTGATGCCAGGTGACGCAGAGACGGTAGCTGCGCATGCCGTGCGCGTGAATGTTTTCCATACCATTGACTTCTTGTTGAAGTACAGCGCCCCAATCCGGGAGAAAGTGAAGAATGGACAGCTTGAGATTCAAGGTGTGGAAAGAAGTGGCAGATGTTTCACTTTACATGGGGATGGCCTCCACCTTGCGATCTTCCAAGGGACATATTGAGATTACAAGCCTTGACCATGACTACACAACAAAACATGAAACACAGTACAACTTGCCAAAGAAGAGATTGTAGGCTTGCACAGCAACGGGCAACCCTACAACTCCCAATGTCAAGATGAGAGGAATCCATCGAATTCAAAGGGCTTAAAAGGGAATGTAGATTTGACAAGCAAACAATCTCCTCATGTTGAGACAGCGAAGGAAAAGAGGCATCAAGTTTTGGTCCCTTTTCAGGTGGAATCTATCACTTGGATTCCGGCAACGTAGAGTTCATGGGCCGTTCGCCTTCACAGGCAGAGCTCTTGTCCTCGAACGTGAGCATTCCGCCCTCCATGACTAGAGAAGGTGGCCGCACCTCTGGCTACGGCCCAGCCATGCGCGGCACCCATGGGGTCCGCACTGGAGCAGATAGTGCCATTGCAGCGGAGGATGCCTTGAAGATGCTGAAGGATGGCAATGAGCGCTTTGCCGTGGGTGCACCTTTGGCAAAACATGCCACTTCAAAGATGCGGGAAGCTTTGGTGAGCCATGGGCAAGCGCCACACACTGCTGTTTTTGGCTGCGCGGATTCCCGTGTTCCGGTTGACACGGTTTTTGATGCCATGCCAGGCGACTTGTTCGTGTTGAGGAATGCAGGCAACACTTGTACGCACGCAGAAGGCAGCATGGTTGGCAGCTTGGAATTCTGTGCCGGAAAGCTGGGATCGAAACTGATTCTGGTGCTGGGACACACGCAATGTGGTGCCATTGCAGGAGCTACCAAGACATATCTGGGCAGTAAAGACGGTCCCACCTCAAAGAACGTGGGTTGTGCGCTGGAGGGTCTGCTCATTGGTCTGTCTCGTGTGGCACAACAGGCCGAAGATGAGCTCGGTGTTGGTGCTGAGCTGGACACGTTGGTTGCACACTCAGTGAAGGTGAATGTGTTCCACAGCATCGACTTCCTCTTGAAATTTAGCGAGCCTTTGAGAGAGCTGGTGAAGAGTGGTAACCTCTGACTTGGCAAAGAACATTAGCACTTTATTTTTGCTGAGACATGCTAAGGGTGTCCATTTCCAAAACTGTTCAATGATCTCAATCCTTTATCGCTACAAATATTCTCGTTCTAGTGTGTTGTAGCAACTCCTGATTTGTTGATTTGTTATGATTTGTTCACTTTCTATTTGTATTCACATTTGCATCCATATCTCGCATCCATTCCAGGTAGCCTGGAAATCCAGGGCGGCATTTATCACCTGGAGACGGGGCGTGTGGAGTTCCTCGGCCGTTCGCCCAGGCAGTCGGAATTTCTGACCTCTGATAGCAGCCTGCCGCCCTCCCTGCAGGCGTTGCCCATCCGCACCACGGTGCATGGCTGGATGCCTCACCCAGAAGCCTTGAAGCTGTTGAAGGAAGGCAATGAACGCTTTGCAGCAGCTTGGAAGTTGGATCCGGTTTGGATGATGTGATGATGGGAATGTATGTCAAACTTTGAGTGGTTTAAAATTTACAAGGGGAAAAACATGGAAAATAACGGATAAAGACTGTTTCAAGATGAAGTGGTGTGAGCAGGCTATTCTCAACCGTCTCAACTCTCTCAACCGATTGGGCGCGGTTGCATCCAAGATCCAAGGTGGGTGCTGCCATTGCCGGCAGGATCACTCCAGCCATGAGGAAGGCCTTGGTCAAAGAGGGCCAGGCGCCTCACACTGCTATCATTGGCTGCGCCGACTCCCGAGCCCCCTTGGAGACGGTGTTTGATGCCATGCCGGGGGACATCTTTGTGCTGCGCAATGCGGGCAACACCTGCACCCACTCGGAGGGAAGCATGGTGGGCAGCTTGGAGTTCTGCTTGGGTGCTCTCAACACCAAGATGGAAACTGGGCTGCGGCTAGACTCGCTAGACATGTCTTGTTAAAAGAAGGGCTGGTTTAACTGGTTTTTTCATCTGTTTTGTATGCACCGATCTCCTCCGGACCTGAGGGCCTTGCTGAGGATGGATTGATGGATTTTGAGTCCGAGTAAATTCTAACATATTAATATAATTATATATTAATATAGATAATATATAGATACATACAGAGGCTTTGAGACATTGAGAGGTCCGAGCCAATCAACCGGTATCTACTTCATTGTTTCAACTTAGTTTCGACTCAGTTTCAAGTTTCAACATGTTTCAACTATATAAGATTATATAAGTTATTATATAAGTCTTTCCATTTCCATCCTGAATCAGACCAGTGGGAATGGCATGGCCATGGCCCGGCCTCATGGCACCTTAGGTGATGGTCCTGGGACACACGGCCTGTGGAGCCATCAAGGGAGCCACCAAGACCTTCCTGCAGTCCAAGACGGTGAGGCAAGCCAAGGCCGGTCCCACGATCCCTCAATTGGCCGTTGTGGGACGATGATGTATGGTACACATGATATGATTCTATTGTATTCTATACATTTCTATACTATAAAGGAGTTGCCGCTAATATTTAAGTTGTTATATAAGTAATCAGTTCCTATAATTCCACTTTACATACCACATGGAACAGTCAAAATCATCATCCTGTTGTTGGTTAAAGAGGGGCTATCCATTGGAATCAAGCGGGGCTGTTTGACAAAGGGTGTGACTATGTGTGAACTCTTGCTCTTAGTTTCAGGTTTCAGATATTTTCATCCACCAAAATAGGATGGTTAAACCTGGGGAGTAGTACCCAACCCACCAATCCACCAGATGGCTATATAAACCATGTGAAACCAATACTGTAAACCCCGGTTGACAAATATTCTTAGAATGCCATTGAAGCTTTGGCCCCCTGGAAAGGCAGCCAGGGCCCTTGATGCTCTGCTGCAAGGCTGGGGGTCATGTCAAGTGATCAGAACGTAGTTGTGGAGAGTTGTGGCGCTTTTTCGGAAGGCATCAGAATTCAGCAGTGCAGCAAGCATGTGGTGTTAGGTACTGAACACAATTGTTTTGGAGAACCCCCTGAGCATATCCAATCAATCAGCTTTTTTCTTGATTTTGACAAGGTGTCACACCTCACTTGCAAACTTCAGCGTGCAATGTCGTCTAATGTTTTCTCCCTAGCACCATGTCTGTTATCGCTTAACCCTCAAAGCTTCCCGACCTTTCTTACTTTTTGGTTGCGCTACTTTTTGCAGTCCAAGGGTGAAGAATGATAAGCGAATAATGTCGACATCATCATAAACACAATCAACATCATGATTCAAAACACAAGCATCCTATCACCGTCATGGTAATGGTCATAGTCTTGGTCTATGTCTTCGTCTTTGTCTTCATCTTCATCACCATCATCACCCCGATCATCTTTGTTGATGGACTCAGAGTAGTATAGTCCGTATAGATACATTTTTCAAAAAACATCAAATGGGTACGGATCAATACCTATGAAAATACAATTTTTTTAAGGAGGTTATTCACATCCATTCTAACCCAGCTATTTTGATGTGAACAAAAAAGGGGTACTATTGGTTTTGACACACTGCCAAATGATCTGTGCTACATTTCCATCCTTTCCTGTTGGATAAGCTGACTCCGGTTACCTCCGGTGACCTCCGGCAGGTCTCAGCGTGGTGGCTTCCAAGTCGGCAGAGGAGTTGGGACCCACCGCCGCCGAGGAGCAGATCGCCAGCCATGCCGTGAAGCTGATCCTTGGGCGCCATTGAAGTTTTGGAATCAGGACATTTTGGGTTTGTCTGAAAATAGTGTATATTCCCAATGAAATAGCCATTTAATAGGGATAATGATCAGCAAAACCATTGGGTAAAAAGGGGTACACTATTTTCAGACACAGCCATTTTGAGCCACTTTTTGAAATGGGAACCCATTTAGATCCTGCTTGAAAAAAGTGGGACATGTGCCCAGGAATGTTTTCCACACCATTGACTTCTTGCTGGAGTTCAGCCCGATGATTCGGAATAAGGCCCGAGTCTCTGAGTGGCAGATGGATGTCGAAGAGAACAGTCACCAAGATTCAAGGAGACGCATGCGCCGCATGCTGTTTGGTTTTCTAGATCGACATGATCAACCCACATTCTGTCGGCACACATAGACATAGACAGACAGGGTGCGCATTTTCACTTTCTCACTGATTTTTCCATTCATTTTGTCACTCATTTGCTCATTTGCTCATGCACTCACTCATGCACTCCCTCACGCACTCCCTCACTCGCTAGCTCGTTCATTAGTCCTTTTGTTCATTTCGCTTTATGTAATTTCATTGCATTCCATTTTGTTCCTTGTTCCTTCTTTCTGTCACATCGCCACCAACAACAGTAACAGTACGTTCACGTGCTACTGTATGCCCTTCTATGAGTCTATGCCCTTCTATAGCTATATGTTAGCTATAGCCATGTGGGTGACCGTTCGAAAATTGGGTACCCCTAAATGACCAATAAACATCAACAAACTATGATGATAAACCATTTTTTGGGTACTCTATTTTGAGACAAGCCTGTGTGTTTCAATAGATCTAAAATTATGTAGGTTCGCAAAGAAACTCAGGTGAATATCTCCAAACTATCATGTAGACAGCAAATGTTTGAAAGAGTGCCAGTTTTTGATTGCTGGGCCCATTCTTTTAGCGGAAAACATGTAGCAGCAATCTGTTCGCTGTTAAGCCCGATTTTTTCTGCTTGGTCTTTATTGGTCATTTGAGTCATTCCAGCACTCTTGACCACATCAAACTAGTTCAAACTAGCCGAAAAAAACAGCAACTCAGCGACTTGGAGGTCTCAAGTGGAGAAGTGGAGATCCAGGGTGGCATCTACGACCTGGAGACAGGGCGGGTGGAATTTCTGGGCAGAAGCCCAGCACAAGCAACTTGGATGGCTGATCTGCAGCTGGAATTTTTGGAAAGCATGCAGACTCATTCAGCCAGATTTTATGATATTTTATGTAGAGGCTAATGCATCTTGACTTTATCTAACACGGCTAGCATGCCTTTTTTGTAGGCTTCATTTCAGTTCCATGCGACCATAACTTTCTGCTGGGTTGGAGTGCCGAAGTATCAGTCAATCTATCCTAGTATTGATTGCAAAGTCAGGAGGAGCCAAACTACTTGAGCAACGGCCCAAATCATGATGGTAAACAAAACGGTGGGAATCATACTCCAGTTGATCGGGATTATCGCTTTATATGATTTATATGTTAGATTATTGAGATACATCCCTAACATATATATAACATATAAAGATCCAGCTTTATAGATCCCTATCCTGACATATATGCTTGATATGTCAAGCAGGATGAATTGTCAGCCTTGACTCTCACCCAAGGCAGCGCTGGTGCGGCGATCAGATTTCACCATGCCGCCCTCCTTGTCGGAATGAGGTAGGGGATGCAGCAACTGCAATGTGGTTGTTTCTATGGGAAAAAAATGGAGGGTGTAGAAAAAGAACAGAGCAAGTTGCCAAGTTTGGACCCTGAAGACACCAAAGTGGATCAACATGGTCTGCACTAGATGGAAATCGGGCTTCTGCAAAATCGAGTAGCACTTGTAGATCAACACCTAGTAGACACATATATTATCGCGAGAGCTATTGCTGTATAGAGTTTTGCACGCTTGCAGCTCCACACACTCTGTTTTAGATGAGCTCATCAGTTTGTCCCGAAGATTGACCAACTCCCAAATGTGGCTGACTTTTCGGGGCTGCCGCAACCAATCATTTCAATGACAAGGGATTTTCCAAAGGTTTGCGGTTTTTGGATTTGCAGGTCTCCACCATGGGGCGTATCGCGAGAACGCCTCTCTGACTACAATTCAGTTTCACCCAGCTAGAATCGCTGGACAGTGTTTAAACAGACTGAAGTCAAGGAAGTAGCTAGGAATGGCTGTAAATACGGAGGATGTGCACTGCAGTCCCAAATTTTCCACGCAGAACTCATTCAATTTTCGAATTTTCAGCTGGCCACAAATCTCGAAGGGAACTGAGGCTCCATTTTCGCTGCCGATTTTCTGGCAGCCCCTGGTGGGTGCCAGAAACTCGCCCCAGACTTCATGGCGCTGAAAAGAAGCCGCAGTGTGATGGATTTTGATTCACAACTTTGGTTTGGTTTGTTCACCGGCTGTGTTTAAAAATCAAGGTTGGTACTCACCTTCCCAACTGTTCCCAAAAGCTTTCAGTGGGACGCTCTGGAAACCTCTTGAGGAGCTCCTGGGAACTGGCCCTGGAATTGGCGATGGTCTTAGCAATGGGTGAAGCCGCGTCCATTGATGGTGTTGGAGGAGTCGCTAAATCCATACCCAAACTAGTGATGCACAGAATGTTGGATCTAGCTACAAACACTTTCGCCTAAAGAGTGCATGTAGGAATCCATTTGAAGTATTTTCGAGTCATTTTAACCTTCGCCCATTGCAGTGCAAGATGTGCAACTTGGAAGTGCCAACTGCTTGAGGTTGAATTTGCATTGCAGCGGTAGATCACCGGAAGGTGTTATTTCTTGTACAGTTAGTGTCTTGGGGTTAGAAAGGGATTGCTGGATTGCTGGCGTTGAACAACTTCCAGCACGATCATAGCGCCCGGCTACAGCATGCATCATGGCAAGAGCTGCAAAAAACAAGCACTTGTTCGTACACCACCCTGACATCAGTAGGATCTCATGACTGGCATGTTGTCGATGCAGATGCATTTCACAGGAGGATCTTGATGACACACAGGCAGCACTTGACTTGTAGCCAGAAGTCCTGGCTTTGGCGTGTGCGTTTCATCTTCATGATACAGGGGACATGCACCACGGACAGCAGCTTTGCCTCACAGCACAGAAGGCCATCAGATCAGCGCCTCATTTCTGTCCAAATTTGAACGTGATTCCAGGTCTTACACATGCATATGACCATATATGACCTGAACCAATGTTTGGTCAGAGTACGCACGTACTTGGGTGCTAAACCTGACCAGAAACCAACGTGCTGTCGACTTCAACATGCGATGATTTCCTTTTCTTGGAATACGTCTGCCGTATCGCATCTAGCGTTTCGGGGCAATACCTGCGGTGGCACCTCCGCCCTATCCTTCAGACTTTGTGCCGCATGAACGCAAGGCTGCGAAGGACATGTTTTTTTGGTTGGAGTCTTTGAGCCATGTCAACAACTTGAAGCAGGTTGAAGCAGTTTGAAGGTGCCGGCACCGCCTGAATTCGGTGCCTTCTGGTGCGTTGTCTCTGGTGCAGGTTGCTGTCTTCCTGGCCGAGGACATGCCAATGCACATCCGCAAGCTCCATAATCAGGCGGGGTTGCTCCAGGGTTTCAACCCCAAGTGCCAAGAACAACAGGGTCACTTAGATGTGCAGGGAGGATTGGAAAAACATGGAAAAACCAGATCCGAAATCCAAAAGTTTGTTCTTTGGGCCCCTAAGATCAACAGCAAAAACATGTTTACAGCAAAGATCCCGGTAGTGAGCGCAGCCTTGATCCAGTGGCCAATGGCAGGCAGCATACAAGCGCCAACAGATTTGGGACATCTGGGAGACTTTCTGTGAGGCGTGTTCCTGCATGCTGAAGCATTCAGAGTGAATGCAGAATGATCTTAGGCGCATTAGGGACTTGAATTGGTGGCAAGTTGCAATTGAAATCACACTCCGCGTTTGCCGCCATGGGGACATTGTAGTCTTGCACGTTGCAAGGCCGTCGATTGGGCCTTCAGCTGCTGCAGTCAGCCAAATGTTGATTAAGGCGGTGGGGCAAGTTGTTGATGCTTCCGTTATTAATCACTTGATGTGTGGCACTCGTTTCAGTTTATCGCTTCCTGCGAGATCTAATCTTGCCGACCCAAACTTTATCAGTTTTGAATTTACAAGAGGCATCCATGTGCAAAATGTACATGGAACATGCTAATTCCTGGTGCGGGGCTGGGTTTGTTCCGCCCATTGTTTGCATTTGAAATGCTGCAAAATTGTTGCGAGACAAACCCTGGGTCTCTGAAACACGTGTGATTCTTGAATCTGTTTGAGTATGTCTGAAAATGGGTTATGCTGCAAGTTATGCTTATCTACAATTCTGGACTAACCGAACCTCTCTCCCTCTCCTCATTTCCATCTCCAGATTCCACGGGCATGGCTCTGAGATCCTTTGAACGGTTGAACGGTTGACCTTTGAACGAGGAATTGGAGTTGCGATGGCTCTTTTGTCTCATCTTTGGGTAAGTCGGGTAAGTCAACCAAAGTGCCCTCAGAGAGATAGAGAGGGAGAGGAGACGGAAGAATATGCAGAATCATTTTTTTTTTCCAAGGTATTTGGCATTGATTTTGTTCTTTTCCTTAGGGCTAGGGGGTCTTTCAGTCACGTGAGTCACATTCAGGGCGACGACGATAACAATGACTTCCTGCCCTTTGGGCGTCGTTGGGAAACCCAAAGTTTCCGCTTTTCGAACGAAGTTTGGGTCATCGAGGGCACGGCAAAGTGATGGATTCTGATCTGGTCATTGAGGGCAGCTGGAAAGCTTACACAGCAAGCCAATGAAGCAGCTGAGATTCCATCGCAACTCCGATAGCGTTTTGGCTCGAATCGCCTCAGCAACAACTAGCAACTCTGATTACGCCATGTCCTCCCAACGCCCGATCGATGCCGCGGGGAAAGCCTCTGCCATGATGCTGGGTTCAAACAGGGGGACTTTGTGTAGTAACTCATGTAACCTCCACAAAGACTCACAAAGATAGAAAAGTAACTTAACACTATTTTGGATTTTGCTTTTCTATCTTTTTTGGGGTCGGGAATTTGAGGGTTTTGATGACTTTTGCACCAGATTTTACCAGTCATGGTCAGCGATCCTAATTCTCTGTGATCGGTGAAATTTGTTCTGCTTCAGATCAGACAGATGTACGACCAAGGATGGAACTGCCCTTTGGTCACCCTCTGGCCCGGGATGGCGCAGGCAAGCAGCCACTGCTTTTTTCAATGTGTGGGGTAGGTATTAGCTTTGAAGTCCTAAGTGTATATTTTGTTTAAAGGAGGCAAGTGCACAGTTGCAGTTTCTTCTACCTTTCATCCCCCGCAAGTGTTTTTCACTCTGGAAGGTGTAGATGGCCGAGTGCGAACCAGCGGTGATCCCCCTGTGCCTCCAGAGCTGGCCCTGAAGTTCTTGAAGGAAGGCAACCAACGCTTTGTTGATGGAAAGCCACAGTCAACCAAGGTGGATTCCATCATGAGAAAGGAGTTGGACAGGGAAGGACAAGCGCCCCACACTGCCATCATTGGATGTGCTGATTCCCGATGTCCCTTGGAGACACTCTTTGACACCTTGCCCGGGGACATCTTTGTGCTGCGCAATGCCGGCAACACCTGTACACACGCAGAAGGCAGCATGGTTGGTAGCTTGGAATTCTGTACTGGCAAGTTGGGATCTCGCCTGATCATGGTCTTGGGCCACACCAAGTGCGGTGCTGTCTATGGTGCCACAAATGCCTACATTGCGGCCAAGAGGCAAGAGGCCCCTGTCACTTCAGCACTTGAAGGCCTCTTGTTCGATTTGGCTCCAGTTGCAGACAAGGCTTTGCAAGACAGCGTTGAGGCAGTTGCTGCCCATGCTGTCCGCGTGAACGTCTTCCACACTGTCGATTTTTTGCTGAAGCACAGTGCCCCTATCCGTGAGAAGGTTCGCAGTGGGCAGGTTGAGATCCAAGGTGGACTTTACCACTTGGACACTGGCAAAGTGGAGTTCATGGGCCGGTCACCAAAGCAGGAAGAGATCCTGAAATCCATCGACGCCTTGACACTTCCTCCATCCATGACTCGCGAGGGTGGCCGCACTTTGGGCTATGGTCCTGCGGCACGAGGCACGTACGGAGTGCGTACCACAGCCGATGCTCCAGTCTCTGCTGAGGATGCCTTGAAGATGTTGAAGGCCGGCAACGAGCGCTTTGCCGTGGGGGCTCCTTTGGCCAAGCATGCTACTTTGAAGATGCGTGAAGCTCTGGTCAGCCATGGGCAGGCGCCACACACGGCCATCCTCGGCTGTGCAGATTCTCGAGTGCCAGTTGACACTGTCTTCGATGCTATGCCAGGCGACCTGTTCGTGTTGAGGAATGCAGGCAACACCTGTACGCACGCAGAAGGCAGCATGGTTGGCAGCTTGGAATTCTGTGCCGGAAAGCTGGGCTCCAAGCTGATCATGGTGATGGGGCACACGCAGTGCGGTGCCATTGCAGGAGCCACCAAGACCTACTTGGCCAACAAGGAAGGCAAGGGCTCCAAGAGTGCAGGCAGCGCACTGGAGGGACTCTTGATTGGTTTGTCAGATGTGGCAGAGCAGGCAGGGATATTGTTATTCATCGGGGGATGGGTGCAACCAAAAGGGCATGAAATGAAACAGGGGCAATGAAAGGAAATGACAAAGAATCAAAAAGAAAGACACAGACTTCAAATAGAAGGCAATCCCGAAAAGACATGCAGGGCACCAAAACCGCCACTGGTTAAACATGAGGAACCTTTGAAAGCTGGATTTAGAGGCACAGGTTCCAGCTCAGCTACAGCCACCCAAAATGCAACGATCCAAACAATGTTTTAACAATATCATGCGATTTGACAGATCAATCGAGGCCAACCAGGAGCTTGGCCCTGGCGTGGAAGAAAGCAAGCTCATCAGCCACACAGTGCGGGTGAACGTCTTCCGTTCCATTGAGTTCTTGTTGACCTACAGCGAGCCTCTCAGGGCGCTAGTGAAGAGTGGTAACTTGACATTGCTTCAGATTCTTGCTTTTTCTTTTGATTTTGAGCAGAAAGGTTATGATATTTTCTTCAAATTCCAAAACATTTTCTTCTTTGCTTGGCCCAGGAGTATTTTTTAACACGTTGCTGAGGAAACTTGGAGATCCAGGGCGGCATCTACCACCTTGAAACTGGCCGTGTGGAGTTCTTGGGTCATGCCCCAACTCAGGCCGAGGTGCTGGCGTCGGACTTCACGTTGCCACCTTCGGTCAAGGGACTGCCGGTGCGCACCACCACCGATGGTCCCATGCCGTCCGTAGAAGCCCTGCAGATCTTGAAGGATGGCAACAAACGCTTTGTCACTGGTGAGACCTTGGCTGGCAACGTCACCAATGGCATGAGGAAGGCATTGGTGAAGGAAGGACAAGCACCGTTGGCCGCCATTGTTGGCTGCGCCGACTCCCGAGCTCCGCTGGAGACGGTGTTTGATGCCATGCCTGGCGACATCTTCGTCCTGCGCAATGCGGGCAACACCTGCACCCACGCTGAGGGCAGCGTCGTGGGCAGCTTGGAGTTCTGCATTGGGGCACTTGGCACCAAGATCCTTGGCACATCTTCGTGGGCATAGGTTTGGCATAGATGGTAATAGATGGTGAGACATAATCACTTCCAACCCGAATTGAAGGACTTACAAGCTTGCAATTGAGAAAAGCAACAAGATGTGATAAGATGTGTCTTCTTTTACACCAACTACCTATAGATGTGCTGTAGATGTCATTGGGACTAGTGTCACTGGGTGCACTGACGCTGACAGGATGGTCATGGTCTTGGGGCACACAGCTTGCGGAGCGATCAAGGGCGCCACGGCCACACACTTGCAGTTGAAGGCTGGCAACAAGCCCAAGGTGCGGACACGCCAAGAGGGAGAGGGGTCCACAAATTCTCCACCCAAATCATCAATTTCATGAGGGAAAACACAGGAAAACACTTTTTTTGGGCGTCCCAGTTATTATCATGATCACTGTTCAAACACACAACCATGGCCGGTGATGTGCAAATCAGGAAAGTGAATTGATGGATATAGTATGATATAGTATTATTATAATGGTATTACAACTTATTATAATTAGTATTATATAAATTGTATAATTATATAAATATAAATATAAATGTATATATAATGATTATAAATTATAATATAGTAGTATGAGGTAGTATCCATGTATGTATCCATACTCCCTAGAGCGCCAGGTCACCAAGGCCTTGGATGCCTTGCTGCAGGGTCTCAGTGTGGTGGCTTCGAAGGCGGCTGATGAGTTGGGACCCAATGCCACCGAGGAGCAGATTGTGAACCACACCATCAAACTGCTGCTTGATTGAAACATTGTAACATAGCTATGGATCAATACCTATGAAAATACCATTTTTTTAGGGGGTTATTCACATCCATTCTAACCCAGCTATTTTGATGTGAACTACAGGGGTACTATTGGTTTTGACACACTGCCACATAATGGAACCCCCAAAGAATCATCAGAAATCACTCTGGGCAAAGAGTCAGTGCAGGGAGAAGTGCAGGGGGGGAATTCACAAGCAGCATCACCTGTTCCTGCGCTGAAGTCAAACGTGTTGGAGCGACGACTCCGTCAAATAACACACGTGTCTTCTTGCCTCCCGCCCACACCCTACAGTTTGTTCCATGATTTTCTGGTTTGAGGGTCTATGGACACTTCACAAGTCAGTCTACTGGCGTGCACCACTCTGGGAGTCCCATGCCCCGACGTGCCAAGGAATGTCTTCCATTCCATCGAGTTTCTGTTGCAGTACAGCCCTCTCATCAGGGAGAAGGCAGATCCGTGGTGATGTGGGTGTTCATGGCGTTGGGGCGTTGGTTGTCATACATTACATATTCACACACACACACACACACATTCACACAATACCCGTCCAATCTACTCAACATCACTCGTCAATTGCAGAGTCTAGCTCATCTATCACTTGCATCTACTCAACAAAATGGTATCTATCCCGATAACATCTGATAACCCTTATCCAATGAAGTTGACGCCAAATCTGTTCATCCCTAAGTCATTGCAACAGAGTACCATCACTTTCTGCTGTGGAGGTGGCAGCGGGTGAAGTGGAGATCCAGGGTGGCGTTTACGACTTGGAGAGCGGTGAGGTGGAGTTCTTGGGTCGATGCCCAACCCAGGACACCCTGCTGAAGTCTGGCGCTGCTCTGCCTCCATCCTTGGTCTGAGCGACATGAGCAACACGGTGTTGGAAATGGTTTCACAAAGGCGGTTTTCGACAAATTTTCGTGGCATGTGTTGCCCGAAACTCTTTAATGCAAGCACTTTTTCTGAGAGCACATTTAAACTTTAAACAAACTGCTAGGTTAACAATCTGGCAAGGTTTGTACCAGTACTAATAATTAATAGTAAGAGCCATACTTGTAGCGACAGGTACGGCCAGCATGATGAAAGTCTCAGCAATAGCCGCTGTATCAGTCATTCAGCCATACTTCATACGGATCAGTCACACACACAGATCACACCTTGCACATATGCCATATATTTACGTAACGTAGTATGGTTGTAGGCCATCGTGATTCTTGTACAAAATACATGGGTTGGATAGGACATATTTCGGAAAAATATCAGAGTTTTCTGGGACCATCCCACATCATCCTGTGGGCCTCGCTAAGATTTCATCATGTTTCCACGCTGCAGAAGCAGCAGCACCTGGCCTCGCCTCGGAGCTTGGTCAAAAACTCTCTGATCGACGCCCAGATGGAAAAAGCCGATGTGCCTGTGATGTTCCAATCTGATGGGACTCGGATGGGATTTCTGGATTGGCCCGAATTTTGGCACCTTCCATTAGAGAAGACTGAAAGACCATGTGGGTTGCTTTCGACATCTTTCGACCCGTTTGCGTCACTGCGACTCGCCTCTGGTCAGGGATCTCCAGCTGAGGCTCGGGCACAATGCTGCAAGAAATGCGACTTTCACTCGGAGTGGACGCGACCAGCAGCAGCTCCTCTACGCTCATTGACGCCTGAGGCCGATCATTTGAAATTTCGGAGGTCCACAAATTGACAACCGTTTTCTGAGGACCTGTATCCTCCTGCATGTCCAGCTGTCGCGAACATGTTGGAACTACTAGGGATTTAGAGCAAGACAAAACAAGAGAACATCGGAAAGTGGAGGTTTCCTGGATGCAGAAAAGATGAAACAGATTTTTGATTTTTAATTGGCAAAGTCGTGAGGTTCCTTCTTTAATATCCCTTCAAAATTGATTCACTAAGATTCATGTTTCTTTTAGACAAGGAACGCAAAAGCGCAAAGTTCCACCACTTGAAAGAACCCTGCAGGCTGCGGGAAAGAAGCGAGAGGACAAGGCCATTGCCTGGTACAACTTAGCCTGTGTGGCTGGTTTGGCTGGGCGACCAGATGCTGCGGCCCGTGCGCTGAAGATGTCTTTGGAGGCTCTCCCACCATCCGAAAAGGTCAGCTGGATGCAAGAGACCCTGGAGGATGTTGATCTGCAACCTGTGATGAACTCACCCGACATGCAAACTGTGCAAGCTCTTCTGCCACAGAAAGAAAAACCGAAAAAACCATTGGGTGGATATGCGCCAAAAACAAGATTCAAGGGGGGTGCAGGGTTTGGCCAGTTGCCTTTCATCAGTGAGTAACACTACAGAATTAAAACCATCACGAAAGGATGATTGGATGATGAGCTTGGCAAATCCAAGCCATTCGCATCCTGTTCGCATAGGACTTGTCGGTTCTCAATTGTGGTGATCCCAAAGTAGATGAAAAACATGATGCAGTGCAAGTGTATACACTTATACTTATATTATATGATACTTCTACTTACATACTATGTCATACGCTATATAGTTTTAGTATGTTTTAGTCATTTGTTCGGGCTTCACCAGATCCATCAATAGGTTTCATCATATTATGGTATGTCGTAGGCGCTTCTTCGACCCGCAGCAGCTGCTTCTACTGCAGGTGCAGCAAACTGCCAACATCTGCCAGCTCGTTTGTTTAAAATGGCACAGCGTCGTGAGATTTGCTGAGTATTGTTGCCATTGGCCTGTTGGATTGTGAATGACAACCTGCAAGATTGCTGAAAACCTCAAGTGTTTTGGTTCGACCAGTTGAGATTTCACGCCTATAGACCGCGACGCCATGACAGACACTGGCGATGAAGTGCGTGGATCTTTGAATTTCAAGGCCATGTTCTTTGCAGCGTTGGTGAGGGCTGCAGGGTGGAGCCACCGGAAACATATGCTGGGGCAGATGGAACAACTGAAGAAGAAGGCGGGGAAATGCTTGGGGAAAACATTGGATGGTGCAGACTTGTGAGCTTTCAACCGTTTCATTTTCAAGAAATCATTTCCTGCAAGGTGGCAGAAAAAAAAGAAGAGATGAGAACCTTGCAAGAGCGCATCTGGAGTTTGGAAGCAAAGGCAGGCCAAGATTGCTGAAACCATGGATCTTGCACGAACAGAACGTCATGTGACGAGATAAATTCAAATTTCACCATGAACATCTGAGACATCAGCATCTTAGTTGAGGCGCTCCACATACACCCCTGTAGCATCCTGTAGCCAGGTGCCTTGCTGGGAGCTCCGTGATGGTGGCGTGAAGGACTTTCAGCAAGCTGCCAGGAGGTTGCAGATGGCCTGGCGTCAGACAGCAGCGAGGCTGGAAGAGAAGAAGGCGAGGAAAGACAAGGAGCGGATGTGACCTGTGTCGAGTTTGAATGGGACCACGCAGCTGTAAATCTGGGGCCGACCCTAATTCATCACACATATCACACCAACTTCGCCCTCCACCCCCCAACCCTCCCTTCTCCTTGTCTCTGTGGTTTCTTTCTTCTTTCCTTTTTCTGTGTCCATACTCCTTGACTCTTTTCTTGTTGTTTTTCTTGTCTTAACCCCTAGTTCACCAAGCAGCGTCTCTCTCCGTTGCACTTTTCTGATGATATCTGGGAACCACTGGGAACCGAAAACAGTTTTCCAAACCAGATGTGCTTGCCGTGATATCGCATTGGACATTATTCTTTAGGTGGTCGCCTCATGTTGCCTCTCCATACATGCATCAGAGCTCCATCCTCCATCATCCTCCCCTCTTGTCCCGTTCCTGCCTTTCTTCCTTCCAGCAGTCTCATTTGTTTGTGCGGTGTTTCGTTTTTCTTTGTTTCGAGTGATTTGTTAGTATCTGTTGAATTCTGTTGACAGGATCGAGTTCCCAGTGCTGTCTTTCGTTTCTCTTGTTTTCCTTGTTTTTGGGTGTCTTGGTCCTGGTTGGTTCCATCCCGTGCATGTACCTTGCATGTTGTTTGTCATTTTGTCGTTCGCAGGAATCGCATGGTGCTTGACGTTCCCTGGTAACATGTTTTTACAACATAGAACCTCCCATGTTTGTGGTTTCTGTCCAAACTGTCTGCTGACTCCGCCAGCTGGTCACATGTAAGGCACGGATTCTTGGGGCCCAAAAAGGTTGTGGAAACTACCGAAGGTGTGCTGTGCCAACCGTGCGAGGAGGCACGTGCCAAAAGCTTTCGCCGAAAGCTGGCTGTGCAGCGCATCCAACGCGCCTGGCGCGCTGAAGTGCCTTTCTGGCACCTGCGTCCCAGACGCACTGCCGCTACTGAGATGCTCTACGACGCCGTGCTCGCCTTCGAGTCGCTGTCGGATTTCTTGACCACCGGAGAGATCGAATTCCTGCAGGCTGCGGAGTCCAAGTTTGATTTTACCAAAGAGTCTCGTTATCGCATTGTGGCAGTGGTGGGTCTATTTGACAAGGGGAAGACCTGGTTGACCAACAAGCTCTTTGGCAAAAACCTGCCGAGTGGCAAGCTGTGCTCTACCAGAGGCATCAGCTTTTTGTGGATCGAAGACTTGGAGATGCTGGTGCTGGACTCCGCGGGTGTTCAACGCCCTGTGTCGCATTGCGAGGGTGCCGTTCAAAGCATTCAGGATGCACGCTCCACTGAGAGTTTGATGTTTGAGATGATCAGCCGCATCGCGGACTACATGATTTTTGTGGTCAATGATTTCACCTGGTTCGAGCAGGAGTATGTGAGCATGTTGCACAGGAAGTATGTGCAGAGCCACCAGCACAAGGAACTCATTGTCGTTCATAATCTGCGAATGACTTCAGAACCAGCCGAGGCTGAGCATCTTTTTCACCAGCAGATCAAGAAGTGCTACAAAGGAAGCTTCTCCCCGCTGGATGAGTTGACTTATGTGGCCGAGCCAAAGGAAGGCGTTCCAGTTGTACATCATGTTGCCCTTTGCAAGGAAATGACCCTTGCAGGCATGGACAGTTGATTCATGATTGCGTGGAACTTTATGGGTTGGTTGGTTTGTATATCATTGAATCAATAAACAGTCTTTGGACAGCCAAAACATGGCAAAGAATGCTTGTCCCACAAGGGCCCGAGACATGGTTCAAGACTCGAAACTCAACCTGTTTGGAATCTGTACCACGCGCAGGTGAGAAGTACAACAAGAAGAACGCATTGCACCTGAAAAGCCAACTGCGATTTCGCCACATGTTGGGCCGCAGCATCAGCTTGACGGATTCGCTGCGCAAAGAGCTGGAGCGGTTGATCCCAACCTTCGCCTACGTCGAGCTGGCGCCTGAGAAGATGCCTTCCTCCGAGAAGACTCTGACTGTTCTTTATGAGACCTGCAAAGAGGTCGGGGCTGAAACTGGTGAAGATCGTGCCAAATATAGCAACTAATCCCATCCCCCTAATGTAAAGCACCTCCTGAATAATGCCAATTATGTGGAAATTCCTTACTAAACATGGTTTGTAGGGGGTGTTTAATATTAGGGGGATTGGATTGGCAACTTTATATTAATGATTATTTCATGTTCAATGTTGGGGTATTTTTGCCAGTGGATTCGAAGTGTTGATTTTGGGAGAATCTGCAGATGGTTGACTGATGTGTGAAATTGTGTGAACATGTTGATTCTATTGAACTGACTGAAGGCGGCAGACAAAGAAGCCGGCAAGGGCCTCAGGCTTCTGGAGCATCGAAGCTGAGGTTTGCAAATGCGATCTGACTGAGTGATTTTTGATTCGCATGATATCGCATGTCCGTTCCTATCGTGTTATTTTACAGTGGGATGTCAAGCGCCAATTACATGGATGGTTGCTTGCAATGACCATTTTGATGTTGAGATTGGACACGCTTGCAATGCCTGAGGTTTCAGCAACACCTCTCGCTCTGAGAAGAAGACATCCAAGGTGTGCAGTTGAGTGACCGCCAGATTTTTTTCCGGTGTGTGAAAAACCTGTACAGTCTATGGAATACGGCCCTACCAGAAAAGATGAAGGAAAAGTAAAGCACTCACATGAAAAGTGAAGTGACATTGATGGCTCCTTTTCCGTGGGCTTTGTGGGGCTCTAAACTACCTCAGCATCTCTAGCAGCTTGAAGCAAGTTAATTTGCTGATTTTGCAACGGTTCAATTGACATGAACTGCCATGGATTGGATTGGCTGTCCAGCATCATAGTATTAGTATATGAAATAAAATAATAGAAACCACCCAAGTTTCAAGACTCCAGAAACGCAATTTGTTCATTTACCGCAAATCTCCTAGGTTTACCACTCTTTTGTTGCGGCATCTCTGCATCCAGGACTATGGAAAGGTTGGCTCCATGCGACTCAAGGCTATTCACCCTGATGCCAAGGCGGATCTCTGCGATTTTCACATTCCTGTCATGCTCTTCACTTTTTTCATGAACGCACCTTTTTTTTGGATCATTTTGGATCTATCTATTTTCATATATTTTCATCCATTTTCCCAATAGTTGCAGGCAGTGCTTTGCGCTTTGCAGCAGAATTCTGAGCATGTAGATACCTGCGGTAGTTGTCATTTGTACAACGAAGACTCCATGCCCACCCAAATGTGGTAAAGCGGTATAGGAAACAACTACCTTTAAACAGTGATCATTTGGAGATACAGGAAAAGATCAAACCCGTTCAGGTGAGCATGAAGACTCAGGGTGTGATCAACCCTTTGGGCGAAATCATAGCGCACGACGTGACCTTCGAACCCAATGTCAATGTCTATGACCGGAGACTGCAGGATGGCATTGAACGAGTGATCCGCGTCGAGTGTCCGGGAGTGCAGCAGGAAGACATCGACTGGGAGGCGAGGAATTCCTGAGACCAAACATGTTCATCCTGGGGCGCAAAGCTAGAGTTTATTGGGCATACTGCGGGGTTTCAAAGTAGATAAATTCAGCAAACATTCGACTTTGACATGATATGACCAGAGAACCAAATGGCAACAACAGTGATTGTGGCTATTTTGGGTGATTGCAGGTACTTCTAGGATCTTGTTGGAGCCCTGCAGTGAGGGTGTCAGCAAGTTGCATGCTGCTCCTTGCTTTTGAGCATTTACCATCTTGAACCGGTCATCACCAGCAGAGCGTAAGAAGCAATGCAGCATGGCATCAAAGACAACACCGAAGCCATTTTGTCACTCAGTTGCGACAGTTCCTGTGTCAGGAACTGGCCAATGGCGTGAAAATCAGCATCCGCAAGCAGAAACCCATTGAAGAGACTGCGGTGCATCCGGTAGAGCCCATCATGCAGCATCATGGGCCATGGGAGCGCGCATTCGAATTTGAGAACGGCTCTGGGCGCTTTGATTTCTCTGAGGAGGACACCGGTTTGGGACATCGTTTGCTTCGATTTGCTGGGTGGTTTGTGAAGAACTTCAACCACCACTAAATGGGGATAGATAAATGATATACGTAACTTCTTGGTGGTTTTAAGTCTTAAAAGATCTTTAAAGTTCACCCCCGAATTACTGTCGGATGATCCCACTTGACGCATATTTTTCAGGGAAGTTGAAACCACCAATTAGCTTTGAAGGGTTTGGTAATGGGCGGTTGAAGTTCAAGATGGCCCGAGGGATGGGAGGATGACACCTATTTAACATTCTGATGCAAACTGTGAATGGTTGACCGTTGAGGATGAACATCCATTGAATCTATTGGTAAGAGATGGCAAGAGCTCATGATGAGCTCATGAAATTACTCTATTTTTTGATTGCTCATCATCCCGAAGGGTTTTGGTAATATTACGAGTCGTCTATTTCAGAGCCAACCTTCCTGCAGTCTTGCTGATTAGCCGTGACACAGCGGGAGGATTTCATTCTGGCCGATGGCGTGTTAACTGTCAACCTGCGGAAGTCCTTTCAATGTCGCAGAGGCAAAGTTGGCAGAAATCCCACCTTGCTTCAAGGTGCAGGGCTTGTTAAACATCTTATCTGGCTGGCGGTTTTACACTATAATGCTTGTATATAACAATAATATATACTAGTAGTATATGCATATGATATTCTATTTTTCCTTTTTTGGGACGATGATTCCAATTGTATATAAGAGTTGAGGATCAAAACCACCAACCAGCTATTTGTTTGGTTGGGCCTTTAAAGATCACCTGGATGTCGATTCCAGAGGTGGCAGGAATGAGCCAACCACTCCTTCAGTGAAAAGCAGCACCTCCGCCGGCTACGACTTTGCCGGCTGACCCTGTGAATTTAAGGAAGTGAGGCAATGGATGAGAGTCTCTCCAAGAGCCTGCACTTAAAAGGTTCAAGGAGGGGACTTCGTCACAGTTTGTATAGGCTTGCTAGAACCTTGCACAGTGAAGCTCAGCTGAATGGAACACAAAGTTCCCTTTCTTCCATTCTGAGCATTAGTCAGATGATTTGATTGTATTTGATTGGGTCCTTCTGCCTGTTCACGGAACAGTATGCCAGCAACGTCAAACCAGTGCAGAATAGGTTTGTGTTGCCTTCCGAGTGTAGCAATCATGCACTGCAAACAGGCAGACATTTAGTTCAAAGGAGTGGTGCATTTGGAACAAAGGAGTTAAGGGGTGAGGTCGGTGCTGTGGCGACAAGTCTTTAGGGTTTGAAGGGTGGGATACAACATCATTCAATCAAAATAATATATTATAATCATTGCGTGGTTTCGTTGACGGGGAAACACTTGGCACACTGCAAATCAAGCTGAGAAATCAGCCATGCCCTAGAATCTGATCTGTTTGACGTGAACATCTTACAAGGCCTACGGTTGGGACGCTATGCATCCTGAGTTCCTTGGTAGCACAGAATCTTACCCTGTTTCTGCCGTTTTTTTTCTGGTTTTTGTTTCGCACTCTTGCATGTCCTCGGGGTAAAGTAAGGTTGAGGCTTCGAATCTCGTCCTATCTGGATGTGCCTGGTTTGCTCGCAGAGCGGGCCACATCTGCTTCAGAGTTCTCAACGAAGGCAGGTTTTCCATAGTGGGATTGACAAAAGGCATTTTCAAGTGGTAGTGCTATCATGCACCACCCATGGAGGTCAAGCAGGAGCATTGATTGCTCAGGCTGCATGGCCCATGAGGTGAAACTTTCGTTGGCAACTCAGCAACCTTTGGCAGCGCGGACATCAGCCTTGGTTTGCCATTGGTTTGTCAAGCAACCCAACCATATCGCCGGTGGGAATGATTGCCCGTTGGGGCCCCATACACACACACATATATATATATAATTCTATATCTATATCATTTGAGTTTCCAATAAAACCCTGGCTGCTCAGCCATCTTGTGCTCAAACAATATGGTGTCCCGGGCAGCTTCAAACATCTTCAGACTCATGAAACTGACGAAAGTGAACATTTTGGCCGCTGCTTCCGTGGCACTTCTCGTCATCTTGCTGGCCAAACACTCCGAGACCAGAGCATTGCAGCAACAAATTGGGAACCTCGAGGAGACTGCTCTCGAACTGGAAAGCTGCCAGGTTGGGTTTGTTGCATATTCATTCAGCAACGAGGCTGTACCTAAGAACTCAGAAACCATCTTCATGGCTGCTGGAAAATGCGGGAATCAACTTCTTGCTTGCAGGCAAAACAGAATGATGAGAAGAACATCCAACTGCAGATGGAGGTGGCGAATCTCAAAGCTGAAGCCTTTGCCTCAGCAGCCCCGAGTACTCTTAGAGACTCTTAGACTTGGACTTGATAAACACATTCCTGGCCGGAAGAGCTGAGCCTGTTGTCATTTGTTGCCGCCTTGTGCATTTGAATTGCATTTGCTTCGTTGACCAAAGCATGCTGAATGCTTGTAGGGCATCTGGCGCACCATTACTGTATGATTTTTGATGCATTTTGAATCGGAGCATCATGGAATGGAGTTGGAAGTGGGGTTTGCAAGAAGGACATTGTCTTGTTGACAGCAGATCGTCTTGATGGCAGGTAGCACTGAAGGATGAGATGAACATTCAACTGCAGAAGGACGTCGAGAATCTCAAAACGGAGGCCGTCGGAGATAAAACTAACTTGGACTTGCGATGTTTTGGACTGAAACAGGTGAGCCATGGTGAGCCTGTTGCCAACTGCCTATCCGGGCACTTACATTAAGTATCATTAAGTCATTATAGTACCATAAGTTACGCTTTCCTGACCAAAAGCACGCTGAATCGCTGTCAAGTCAGAGACTCTGCTGTGATTGGCGTTTGGTAAGGTTTGTTCTTTTGATGTATGCTATTGTATACTTGGTGCCCTCTAGCAACTTTCCGATACACTTTACTCACTTTGCCTTGGGCCTCTTGGTTTTGAACATTTGGGTTGGTTCACTTGTGTTCGAACGCAGACTTGTTTTTGTCGACAGTCCATATTCTTGATGGCAGGTCGAACTCATGGATGCAATGAACGCTCAACTGCAGAGGGACGTCGAGACTCTCAACGCGGAGGCCTTTGCTGTTTCATTGCTGCCTATTGTTGGATCAAAGTTGGACAAGCTTGCCATTGCCCATGGGCATTTGCATTGCACTTGCTTCGTTGATCACAACGTGCAGCATTGTTTGCAAGAATGAACATGTCTAGCGAGTAGTGGCCCAGGTGGCCTAGTGCCTCGATACAATGCTGCCATGTTTCGACAGAATTTTCCATGGATTTCCATCGGTCCGTGGATCGGACGCAAAGGACACGTGGCTCGGACGCTTCGGATTTCCAAGACATTTGAAAGTGCAGAAGGACATTGAGAATCTCAACACGGAGGCTTTTGCCCCAGAAATCCTGCCTGCACTTGGGTCGAACTTGTGCTTGATAAAGTGTTTTGACCGGACACCTATTTGGGACCTTGCATGAAGTTACATTTGGTTCACTGACCAGAAAGTCTGTTGTCGGAGATGGGCAGTCGGGTTTGTTCTTTCGAAGTAGGTTATTGTATGCTGTATGCTTCATGTACAATGGCAACATATTGCGTCATTTTGCCCTGGCCTCACATCATGGAAGGGCGCTTGAAAAAGTTGGCTTTGGACCACCGGGGCACTGGTGTGTGCAAGCAACATATTGTTTTGTTCAGGCAGAAATAAAGGATGCAATGACCGTTCAACTGCAGAGGGACATCGAGAATCTCAAAGCGGAGGCCTTTGCTGTTTCATTGCTGCCCATTGTTGGATCATGTGGGATCAAAGTTGGACTTGACAAGACAGGCTTACCCCAAACAAGCAAGCTTGTTGCCATTTGTTGCCCATGGGCATTTGCATTGCACTTGCTTCGTTGACCAAGAGAGTCCAAATTGATGCCAAGCAAGGATCTTTGCTGTGAGCGTTGGCGTGTCTATTCAATTATTTGATGCTGTTGCGTGCTTCGATACATTCTGTCCTAGGTTTCTTTGTATTGAACATGTGGGTTGGACCCCTTGTGTTCGCAACCAGACTTGTTTTTGCTGGGAGATAGGCCATATTTTTGATGGAGGCACGACGAAAGGATGACAAGAATATTCAGCTGCAGAAGGACATCGAGAATCTCAAAACGGAGGCGGTGGAAATCCTTTCACACCATCACCAATCCATTGGATCATTCAAAACGGAACTTGACAAAGTATTCTAACACGTTCTAATATATTCTAACGCAAACATGTGAGCCTGGCTGAGCCTGTTGGACATTTGCATCGGATTTGCGCTGATGAACACGTGCAGAGCCTGCTGTCCACCGAGAGCAGCTGCATGCACCTTCCAGCCATTGTGGAGGCTCTGACTGCTGAGCTGGCAAACTTCCAGGTGGATCATGAGAAGATTGGCCAAAGTGTGAATGTGAACGTTCAGGCCTTCACACTGCAAAGTATATGCGCTGGGAGTCAAAATCATCCATATACAATTGTTGGAAATGGCATGGAGCCTGTTTGCATTTTTTTGTGAAAGATCTGATCCCTCCCATTTCAGGAGTGTTGATTGCACCATGCAATATGGAAGCCTGGCCATTTTTCATCCTGCAATCACCCAGGATTCCAAAACAACCAGCCATGGCAGCCATGGCAACCTGCCAGGTCTTGATGGCTACCTTTGTCATTGGCGCCTTGATGGCCATGCTGCGGCGCTATAGACAGACCCAAAAGGCGGCCTTCGAACTTGATGATAGCAACTCCCGAAAAGATGGACTGTAAATTACTCAGATAATCTAGAATATATAGTGTTAATATGGACTGTATATTACTGTTAGTTAAGCCAAGTTACTTTCTATTTTTTGCAACCGACCAATCAATATGGCAAGAACTATTTTGGCATTGTACGAGCATCTTGGATGGGACAAGTTCTGCGCAGTCTCTGTTGGCCATGCACACTGGTGCTTCCAAGCTACAGATGATTTACGATATAAGCTATGCGCAAAGAAGCCTGTTCAACAACTTTTGGAACCAACAACTGTCCATGATGGATACAAACTGTTGGTTTTGTCCTTTATTTTCATTTTCATTCATCTCTCTTGAAACTGCCAAATGTATTGGTTTCTGCTGTTTCTGCGCGTCGCTGCGACCTTTTGTTGTTTGCTGACCAGGTGAAACAGGTGCATGAAATGCCTTGGGAGCTTCATGGAAGGATGAAGGAACAACAGGCTATTGCTACTCGGAAGTTGCAAGGTGCCTGGCGTCGAAAGGCAGCGAGACTGGAAGAGAGGAAGAGCAGGGAATACAAGGAGTTGGTTGGGCTGAGTTCTGTAAGGCAAGCGAATTTGATTGCTTCAATGCAGCACTTCGCTGCCTGACATGTTTTTGGTGGCTTCAATGACTTCAAAGCAAACTTTAAGCGTAAAGATACAAGGGGACAAGAAGTAAACCAATCATTTCAGCCAGGCCCAAATCAGCACCTCTCCAGTCTCCCCTGTCCTTTATAAACCATGTAGATCATGTAGTCATGTAGTAAGTCGCCATGGTAACCGAACAGCAACTAGTTTGGGTTCTGTTTGGAAACACATTGTGATCCCATGTGCGAGGAAGCTCGTTTGAAGACCCTGTGGCGGAAGATGCTGGCACGTCGCATCCAACGCACCTGGCGTGCCAAAGTTCCCCTCTTGCGCCACCGGCGCCAGCGCAGTTGTGCCAAGGAGACCGCCTATGATGCGGTCTTTGCATTTGAGTCGCTTTCCAATTTCCTGACCACTGGGGAAATTGAGTTTCTCCAAGCACCGGAGTCCAAGTTTGATTTCACCAGAGAGTCCCGCTATCGCATCGTGGCGGTGGTGGGTCTATTTGACAAGGGGAAGACCTTCTTGATCAACAAACTCTTTGGCAAGAACCTTCCGAGTGGCAAGAAATGTCCTACTACAGGCATCAGCTTTCTGTGGATTGAAGACTTAGAGATGCTGGTGCTTGACTCAGCTGGTGTCCAACGCCCAGTTTCGCAGTGTGATGGTGCTGTTCAAAGCATTCAGGATGCCCGTGCCACCGAAAGCTTCATGTTTGAGATGATCAGCCGCATTGCAGACTACATGATCTTTGTGGTGAACGACTTTACCTGGTTTGAACAAGAGTATGTGAGCATGCTGCACAGGAAGTATGAGCAAATGCTCCGGCACACCGAACTCATTGTGGTTCACAATTTGAGGGACACCTACGAAGCGGAGGAAGCCAAAGATCTGTTTGACCAGCAGATCAAGAAGTGCTACAAGGGTGGCAGCTCACCACTTGACGAGTTAACATATGTGGCGGTGATGCAAGAGGGAGTTCCACCTGTTAATCATGTCGCCCTTTGCAAGGAAATGACCCTTGCAGGCAAGGCTGTGAGTCTCACAGCATCAGGTGATCTATAGAATCTATATAATTCAACATTTTAAACT